AGCTGTGGCAGCCAGGCTCTTCATCCGTATTAAAGTCTTGCGCAACCCAGGTGCAGATGACTGGCTGATCGCAGCGTCAATGGTGAGTCAATTACACTTTTCCTCAGGTCCGACTGCCACAATTGTTCTTTTGCCGTAAATTCTGACGATCAATTTAGGTTTTCAGCATATCATATTCTGTAGTAACAACGGTCGACGTCGCTCTAGGTTACGGAAAACATGCAATCGTCATAGCAGATAGACTAGAACTCGTTTTGCTGGTCAACTATATCAACTTCGCCTTGGGTATAATATCCTTCGCCTTACCCAAATTAGCCGTGGCAGCCCTGCTAAGCCGTTTCCTGAACCCGACAACTATACAACGTGCGATCTTGTGGGGACTGACGGGGTTCGTGGCACTGGTGTCGTGCATCTGCATCTTGGTGCTATTTACCATGTGCGATCCAGAGAGAGCTCTTTGGGACACGTCCCTTCTGTCGAAGGGCGCACATTGCCGGAGCTCGTGGATCCTTGTGGACTATGCCATCTTCACTGGAGGTAGGTGCGACCCTAATTGAATGAAGCCGAGCTTAAACAATAATAGCCGTATCTGCTTTTACGGATCTCTATTTGGCAATTTATCCGACAATCATTTTGCTGAAACTCAATATGTCGCTGCGAAAACGATTGGCATTGTGTGCAGCGTTGGGCCTGAGTGCGGTGTAAGCAAGAACTCGGAAAGCTCATTGTCATTAGTAATCGCTAACAAACAAGAATATAGCGCTTGTGCAATGGCAATCATTAAGTGCATGCAGCTGCCGGGCCTTGCTGATCTCAGCGATACGACATGTAAGCTTTTGACGGAACCCCGTATGACCGGAGTCCGACTGACACTATAGCAGATGCTACAGCAGATCTTGTGATCTGGACAAGGTAAGCCAATATGTGTTACTCTGTGGCACCAAGCCGTTGTTGGGAGAGAATCCCGGACAATGACAATATTCTCGACAGTATCGAATCGAACGTCGTGATCCTAGCCTCATGTATCCCCACGTTACAACCGCTTCTCGAAATAATTCTCGGAAAGCGCAGTCTGAGAAGTACCAGCAGATATCAGTACAAAGAGAGCAGTGCACAACTGCCCGAGTCCAACAAATGGAGCAGCAAGCGGTCTGCACACCGGAAAAGCAAAGGCAATATGATGGTCGCAGATGTTGGCAGCCAGGACAGCATTTTGCAGACAGTTGACGATCACGGGGACGAGAGCCATTATATGGGGCACATCCGTCGTACAGATAACATCACCATTGTGTACGAAAGCGTGACGCCACAGTCGGGTGGTGCTGATAATACAAATAACCATGTAAAATAGGAGGGCTATACTGACGACGTCTCTAGCATGTTATTTTCTTTTCTGCCTTCTTTTTGGGCTGGTCTATAATAACGTAAATGTCGTTTCCCCATTGTCTAGACGCAATTTCATACGAGTGCTTCTAGACATCCTGGAGAATTGGAGTATTATAACTAGTTTGGGTTCGAATGCTTGCTAGGTTGGGAAGTTAGCGTGATGGTCCAGCACTATTAGGCTGAATGTTGCGTTGCTTCCATACCTTCAGATCGCTGGCATAACGCAAATCTTTCAGTATGCGATTATGTACGTATGCCAGCTCTGGACTACTAGCTTTGCATGTGCCTGATATCCCGCAGTTGGATGTATCATCCAAAAACGAACCGTTTCCAGTTTTCAGCGAGCTGTTGAACGCCTTGATGTAAATCCCATCCGCGGATATCGCAGATCTGTCGAGCGATTTCCTCAAGCAGGTCATCCATTTGTTGCCCCGCCGTATGCAGATCGCTCTCAATGAGTATCCTATCATCAGGCAAAGCCTTGATAACGTCGATGACCTTCTTTGACGAAGGTCCACCGAAGTTTATCACAGAAGAGAAGGAGAAGTAGACGTCTGATGGATTGGATTGATGCAGGAATTGCTTCAATGGCTCCACCGGTCCGGAGTAAGAATGCATGCAGATCCGTGGTGGGAATGGGAGAGACTTTTCTTCTGGCTTTGCAGGCTCCTGTTGCTTTGGTTCGTCCTCTGCGTCGCTCTCTGCATGCGCATCTGCAACGCTATATCGTCGGCGTCTCTCCCGCCGTGAGGCGCTCTTCCGCTCATGCCCAGACCAGAGGCCCTTGAAGAGGTCAAAGACCGCCCCATGAGCTTGAACGCTATGCACAGAAACTGGTCGTTGAAGTTCTCCAGCTAGGCGCAACTGAGCCTCCAAAACGGCTTTTTGATGCGCCAACTGAACACGATACGGCGAGAGCTGTCTACCTTCGCGCGACCCGGGGGTCATTCGCTCATCCCGAGTTTCTTTTTCCTCCTCAGTCCACGCCCTGGGAAGCCTAAAAGCACGATCAAGGCCTACCTCACCCACAAGAGAACGGGGATACGCCAGCAACCGTGCTCGAGATTCCGACAGCAACTCTGACAGCGGCTTCGGATCAGGTAACGACAGGATGAAGTCATCATCTGGCTCTGGAGTAAGGGCCTTTCTATAGTGCAGCTTCTTCCGCTCAATTGGTGAGGCATTATCATTGGTATCGGGTGAACCAGTCACATCGTCGATGATTTGATGCGAGAACCATGGGTGCCAGCCAAAGCACGGAAGCACAGGCCCTGTTGTCGAACTTTGGGCGGACTCCTGACCCTGGGTCAAGGATGTGGCGGTCTGAAGCACCAAGTCTTGGTCCTCTCCGCGAGTGGACATGACTGTCAATGTCGATACTTTCATCTGGGGGATTTCCGCAATGGATGACATGGTGTCAGTGGGGTGACAATGGGCGTCAAACACCCCCAAGTGCCAAGGGAATGCATCATTCTGATTGGCCTCCGACATGGTGCATGTGAAAAGGAAATGCCAAAAAGCCGAGGAGGAGTTCGAGTGTCAAGGCAAAAAGAATAATGTTTCCAGAGGTAGCTTGGGGATGTGTTGATTGACAAACGATGGATGATGAATGAATGGAGAGCGAAGCTGTGACGTAAGGAAAAGCCCGCCGATACGAACGCGATACGCGGTGTACTGATGCCTGGGGCAGACAGCGGATATGGAGCATCACATGCTTCTTCATTGTCTGCTTCTCCGCATTTTAGATCTGAGGATGCAATCATGATTGCTATATTCCCTGCATGAACACTGCAGGACTATTCCTTCCTACTATAATCATGCCACTTGCTTCCCATATATCTAGTAAGGAAACATATATTCCCATGTATTCAACATCCTCCTTCCACCTTCTATAGCCCACTCTATAGCTGCCCTAGTCCCCTCATCTTCATGTCCTCTATTTCCGCCTTCGTGACTCTTCCCCTCCTCACTCTCTTCTCCCTCCCTCTCGCCGTGTTCGCATGCTTCACCACCTTCATTTCCATCGTATTTCTTTTCCTCCGCTTCTCTGTCATATATATCGAACTATGTCTTGCCATAATCACAAATTACTTTGTCATCCCAACAGCCGCCAACACCTCCCTCCTCAACTTCTCCGCATCTGAGCCCACCACTCCAGCAGCCTCCACAACGCCCAAGCGTCGCTCCGTCGACCACAGCTTAAACAACGGGCTCCTCACTGCTCTCGCAACATACCGTCCAGGCCCCAATGCTCCTCGCCGAACGAACAGTTTGACCACTACAGCCTCCACCTCTTCAACCCAAGACACCAGCATTATTCCACTCTATCGCAAAGATGAACCCCCAAGAAACACACCCCCACGCCACTCCGCCCCCTCTGCCCTCCTAACACTCATCAGTGGCGACGAAGGCCGCGATTTCGAAGGTCTAGGTGGCTGGCGCTGTGCAACCACAGCAGCAGCAACAACAGCAACCACTACCACCACCGCCACAACGATAAGATATCCAAGCCATCATCTCCTCTCAGACACCGCCTCCCCCTCACCAAATCTCACCAGTACCGACCACGACGAAAGAGCATGGCTATCCATCAACGAGCGACTAGAACTTCCCTCTCAACCACTACTCTCCATCCGAAACAACAGCAACAGCAGCAGCACCAACAGCGAACCCTTCGAAGCTCTCCCCTGGAGACATCGACAAATGGCTTCAACCAGCCCTCCCCCCGGAGGCAACAGTAACATCGCCCGCCATCACCATCGCTCCGCAACCACCTCCTTACTATCCACCAGTCTCTCCCCAAAATCCTCACTGCCGGATGCTCTAGATCATCCTCAACGTAGGGCTACCTCACCACCACTATCGCAGCAACAACAGAACAGAAACACGCTCTTCTGCACCCCCTCACCTACCGAGAGGTTCCCAGGCGCATCGATCCCTCGAGTATCGAGTCCGACTGATGGATCGGGGGGATATTTCTCCTTCCGACCCGGTAGCACAAGCAGCACGAGCGGGTCAACGACACCAGGTGAAGAGCGACGATCACCTAGACCCTCGGCCAAATCTATGGTGCATTACCCCGCTGGGGTGAGATATCGGAGAAGTATGTCGGGGCCGAATAGTGGGGTGAAGTTGACCAGGGCGTCGTCAGGGACGGAGCGGGCGTTATAGTTTCTTGGCTCCATCGCGGTTAAGTTCATGTTCACGCTTGTTTGGTGGCATTGGGTGCGTGGGATATGTCTGGATAATGTGCTATCTATCGTATCTTTTTCTGCCTGGATATGACAAGATTAAGGTTACAGTCTCCTAGCGATTCACCAACCATGACATACGAATCTTCTTCTAATTTCTATATTTCGATGCTATCTTTTCACATTCCTACTTCTACCGTTAAGGTATTTACATTTCACGTAGTTCATGATCGACAGATACCCATTGAGACATCGCCCGATCTATGAAGAAACGAACCCATCATGTATTTACTGTCCAGAAGAAAACGAAAAAAAACAAATCCCGCTATTTAGTGACCCAACATATCGTGAACACCTCTTGAAACAAAATGAAAATTCTGACCTTTGGTTGATCAGACTAGACTGCATAGACATGCAGAGGCTCTATGAAGATCGATTAGCTCTCTCCTTCTCAGCCACCTGCTCCATCTCAGCCAAGACGATCCGGTTGAATTCTTCCCATCCGTCTAGATAGATATGATGGCCTGCCCTCTTGATGATAACCACCTTGGCCGAGCCATTGTCTGTTTCGCGTTCCTCTACCGTCGCGTTTTGCAGGATACGCTCCTTCTCTTGATCCAGCTTAGCCTTCGCGGCTATTCCGCCTTTTACGTCCATCCAGTCGTGGTCACCATACATGAAGATGATGGGGAGACCGTTTTCGCGCTTGGATGTCGTTGAGGGGGGCTGGGAGGGGGCAGAGTTGGTAGAGGAAGATTCCGAAGTAGACTGGGAGGTGGTCGTTGCAGCTGCGGCCTTCGCAGACTCAAGGACAGCAGATGCGGGGGACGGGTTTTGCTGGATGTATTGACGACCGACGCCCTCGATGCGGCGAATTAGCGGGCTGCGGGCGAAAGCGCCCGGCGCGAGAATGTACGATAGAGCGTACTCGCCGCTGCCGCGCATGCTGAAGATCGAATACGAATAGTCGTGCAGAGCCTTGGCCTCCTCTGCCGGGAGATGAGAGAAACGCCGGGATGTCCACCCGGAGACCAGGCGCGGACCGAGCGGTCCCGCCCATCGCACCAAACTGAAGGGGGAGATGTTGGCATCCCAAAGGTAGGCGAACCACTTGGGAACCATGCGCCGGGGCGGTTGGTCCGGGGAAGCACCACTATTTGTAGGGGAACCCTTCAGCAGAATATTGTTGTCGCCTTTCTGAAGCTCAGCCGGGGGAACCGAAGAGGCGGATTCGGCGATATTGCGCTGGTTCTGGGTGAGCTCATTCGCCATAGTCGACTCGTTTGGCGCAGGCATTTCTGCCCGCACAGCATATGGATCCTCTGGGATTCCCACGGGGGAAGCTAGGATAAGCTTGTTGAGTCGCCCCGGATATTTGAGAGCGTATGCCACGGCCATGTAGCCTCCCAAACTATGACCGAGGAGTGTGAAACGGTCGATGTTGCGCTTGACTCGCCATTCTTCTAGCGCATCCACGAACCATGCCTCTGCCTCTTCGATGGCCTGCTCACGCTCCTTCGCCTTGATGCGAAAGGGCGGCCGCGTGCTGCGGCCCATGCCCAGGAGGTCCAGCGCATGGAGTTGCCACCCTTTCAGGCGACTAAGCGGCTCAAAATTTTTATAGAAGAACCCCAGACCAGCACCGTATCCATGAAGCATGACCAGATGTTGATCTGCTTCTTCACCAATCCGCTCGACTGAGAACTCGTTCAGAGCCCGATTTTTCCCGCTCAGCTCCACCATGCTGGAGCGCCACATTCGAGGGCCGTACGGGTCATTGGTAGAACTGGCTGATACCTCACCCTGTTGGGTTTGATCGGCGGACTGGAGACTGCCTGTGCCTCCGGAAACATTGCTCGTTTTACCGGTCTGGAGGTGGGTTGGGGGTTGATGCTGGAGATAAGGGAGGTGGGAAAGAACTCTGTGTTCGGCTGTGGCGGCGGGTAAAGACGCCCACTGGAAGAAAACCCAGTCTCAGTCACCCATGCGACAATTGACTTTGTTCCTCAGTAATGAAACGTACCCATTGACTAAAGCCTTCCCTGTAGCCTAGGGGAAACCAGGCCAAGGGGGGAGGCGTTGCGCTGGCTCCGCGCGCTGCATGTGGCGTACTCTCTCGGCCAGAGGCCACGGGTTCCTGGCTGCGGCCGCGGAACTGGCCGCTGGGCGAGTTGAGCGACTCGGAGGCCATCGTAGATGTAGACGACGAGCGTCTAGATTCCGTCGGTCGGGAAGAAGAGGAGATGTATCGAGCGCTTTCAAACGAGGTCCAGGAACGTGAGACTGGGACCTGAAAAGAAAGCGAAGGGAATCGCGCGATCGACACTTTGTCGCCAGGAAAGACGGAGTGACAGAGGAAAAAGCTCTGTCACTCTCTCGGGCTGCAACGGAGAAGAAGGGGTATTTAAGAACAGCGAGTGGAAAATAGATTAAGTTCTGCTTTTAGGAGGGCGCAGTGGAGAGAGTAAGAAACAAGTCAGTGGAACAAAACGAGAAACGGTTGAGGACAACGCCTAAGACCGTTAACCCCGATCCGAGATGGAGTTAAGGAATACAGTAGTTTGTGAGTTAGGCAACCAGAGATGATGACGCTGAAGATAGATAATAAATGAGTCAGCAGTACCTAACCTGCGCAATTAGTTAAAGACTCGGAATGTCAAAGACAGCACATGCATGCAAAAGAAAGGCAGTAAATTGGAACAAAAGAGGGGGCAGAGGAGGAGAAGGCAGAAAGTTGAGAAAAGGAACAGCTGAAAGTCCAGCGGAAGTGGAGCCGGCTTCAACCAAGTGTTGGCCGATTGGAATGAATGGATGACGATGCTTCACTCTTTCTTGTCCTTTCCTTCTCCCTCTCCCTCTCCCCATACCTTTCTTTTTTCCTGTCTTCCTCGAAACCTCTTCTTTTTCCTTCCATGCGATGAGATAGCGCTGGGCCGCAAAGGCCAAAAATCCACCTCCGTGTTATTGAATTATTCCCCTGCGATCTGAGCCTCGGAGCTTAATTCTGGTCCATCTATTCTTTTCCGTCCTGACGAACCCGATCTCCCTGGCCCTTCCTCGTCTTTCCTCTTTCTCTGGCTTCCACTCCAGAGCTCAATATGGCCTCAGCAAGCCTAGACCAACTGGTCAAGGGCTCTCCAGCACCCAACAATCGTCTTGCATCTTCTGCGACATCCTCCTCCGAATCATTGGCGCCTGCATTTCACTCCCAAGCTCCCTCTAGCGATCCCTCTTCCCCGCCACGGTCGTCAACTCCCGATCCACTGTCGACCCTCCCCTCTTCCCCACCCCAGATATACCTCAATCTCCTCATTCTCGAGAGCTCTCTGCGAGCTCAGTACCTGGCTCTCCGGGAACGCCGCCGACAAAATACGTTTTTCCTTCTCTTGCTTGCCGCCTGGATCGCCTACTTTGCCTACGCGCTCTTTCTCCGCCCGCGCGAAGATGGCCGCGGTGTCGGAGGATCGGTCTATTGGGTGGTCGAAATGGGAGAAAAGGTTGCCCTGATGGGTGGCGTGGTCACTGCCCTCCTGGTCTGGGGAACAGGGCAATGGGAACGGGGAGTTCGTTGGCCGCGGCGCTGGCTCGCCGTAGCCAACCGCGGCCTCCGCACCATGAACACCAAGATCGTGGTCATCCGAGGTCCCTGGTGGCAGGAACTCTTCTCCTACCTCTCTTTTCTCTTCCCCTTCTCTGCACCCTTTTTCCCGTCCCCCGTGGGCGATTTCCACTACGTCGAGCGCCCTGCGTCCGAAAGACGTGGTAGTCGGCAGCACTACCAGCAGTACTACAACCACGACGCGGAATCAGGTCTGGTACAGGAAGACCTCAGCCCGGGAGGGGACTACATTCGACTTCTTCTACTACCGAAGTCATTCTCACCCGAGTTTCGCGAGAATTGGGATGAATACCGCAGCGAGTTCTGGGACAAGGAGAATGATCGTCGTGCTCAGCTGCGCCAGAAGCTGCGCCAAAGGGAGCGTCAGCTCGCCCAGCAGGATGGCGGCTGGTTCTGGTGGTTCGGACTGAGTTGGAAGGCGTCGCAACGCCGACGAGTCGCTGCCGCAACGATCAGCCGACCCGGCGATGCTGACAAGATCCCACATCGTCCCCATCACCACCACCACCATTCGTCCAGTATCTCAAAGCTCGTCCATGAATCCAAATCGCCCTTGCGACGCGGCGGACCACGCTCCGAATCCCATTCCCGCACGCCATCACGCAGTACTACCCCCGTTGACACTGACGACCGACCCCCGTCCAGGTCTTCGGTCAGTGGCCGTCCCCGCCGCGGAAGCACAAGTCCAAGCACAGAACAACAGATTCAGCAATCACGAAAGAAGAAGGCATCCAAAGCCGCCACTCGTGGTCTGTCTCCTCTGACGCAGGCCCAAATCCGAGAGGGCGTGCGCACCCCATCCTTTTCATCCGACGATTCCTCCTTTATGGGCACACCCAGCGAAAAAGAGAAATCCAGAGAAGATGGTGCTGAATAGAAATTCCCTCCGGTCCTTGGTCTCTCAAACCAACACCCATTCTGGTCTAATCTACCAATTATCCCCCGTATGTACATCGCCGATATTATACCCTCTGAATTGCACACTACACACTACACACAAACAAATACTATCTCATCTCGATGTACTTACCGCCGTCGTCGTAGGGTGTGTGTCGAAATAAAGCTCTTCTCTTCTCTTTTCCCTCCCCTTTCTCTGCATTGCCGATTTTTGTCTCATACATTTCGGTATTTCCGTTTTCTACCCCATATCCGATGGATTTCTTCTCTTTTTAATACCCCTCATATTCTATCATCTTTATAGTGCATTCTTACTTTACCTTTCCCGTTTTTGGCATCAGGGGGTATGGTATAACTATGCGACTGAACTTACGTCCCTTAGAAAAGGATTCGAAGAAAGATTAGATCAGAATCAGTTTAGTCCTTGGTCTGGATAGTATATACGCATGCATATATGATTACCTCTCTCTCTCTCTCTCTCTCTCTCTCTCTCTCTTGTCTTTTTGATTTTTGCGGGTACTACGTACATGCCCTTCCCGTGTAGTACTAGATACACTGAGTAGTGAGTGGGACAGACTAAACTAGCCTAAGTAGTACGTACGTAGTGGGCAAACTCAAATCCAGACTTGTTCCTGCGCCTCGGATGTAAGGGGTATGCATGATAAAGGGGCAAACTACTGTAGTAGTGAAAAAAAGCAATGAAAGGGAAGGACTATCTACTAGACTAGGGGAGGGGTTGAAAAAGGAAGTATAGTTTAGTACTCCGTAGTCTAGTATCTGAGTTTAGTCGCTTGGGAACCTTATTCCGGCCTATCATATCATGCTATATCAATGTATATCAGGAAGCCCTAAAGTCCGGGCTTCGGTAGATAGTTAGCTTGTAGACATTGGTGTGTGGAGAATATGATGGATGGCATTTCGATTAGAAAGTGATGCATGCACATGGAGGAAGTAGAAGATTAGAAGCCAAGTAATATAGATGATGAGTTCCCGAGACGCCGAACTATCCGTAACAACAGGTGTATGTATTCAGGCAACATATGAAGAAAAAAAAATGTAAATAAATCATGCGCGTGATTCAGCCGTCAGATAGGTATCCATCCCATTTCTCTAGGTCGTATAACGTTGTAAAATGAGTTTCCGTGGTTTTTGTTTATTTTTGATTAGATTCTGTAGACGGTTTCGTCATCCTCAAGGTACCTATTCGGGGAATTTCGTTAGTATTTAGGACAAATTTGGGGGGAATGTTTTGGGGAGCATACATTAATTCGTTCCTCTCGTTCATAGCCCTCAGGGCCTGGATAGCTTCCCCGCGCTGGAAGACGTGCGATTCGCCGAGGGAAGGCGTGTTGCGCAGCGCAGTGTTCACAGCTCCGATAAGCGATTCGACGTCGGCGGTGTCACCGTGGGTGAATAGTCGTGTGCCCATCAGAGGACCCAGTGCTTGCCTGAAGACCGTCAAGCGAGCAGGCTGGATCGGCTCAGATGAAGCAATCGTGTTCTGCGACTGCGAGTTGTCTGTCTGGGACTCGACCAGCTGTGACGCGGGTCGAGATGAAGCCACAGACATCCGGGACTGACTTTGTGTTTGTGTCTGTGCGCGGGACGTTTGGCTAGAGCGGAGTCGTTGACCGCGGGGACTAGAATTGTACAAGCCATCGCCATCCTCGGAGACAGCATCTCCGTCCGCATCCATCTCTGTGTCCTCGTTGGTGGCGAAACGAGCGTTGGCTGCACGGGATCGGAGACCGCCTCTCCTGGATGCTCTGGGGGTGGCGCTGGATGTTTGCGCAGGAGTGTTATCGTCGTCAGAATCAGAGTCGCTACTGTCTGAATCTTCGTCAAACGAAGCGACCTTTCTCCTCTTGCGGCGCTCATCTTCAACGATTTCCTTGAACATGGCGAACCGGAGGATAGACTCTGCGACCTTGGCATCGCGCTCCTCGACTCTGTTCGAGAGGCGTGACTTGGCGTGGGCCGTGGATAGACGGATCAAGGTTTCCAAGGTACGAGCAGTAATGGGCGATGTTCTGCGCTGGTTACCAGACAGTTCGTCGTTTCTCAGAGCGGAATATGTTGCGACAATGTGGTCGGCGGCACCCTTAGTCAAGACGGGCTTGACACGAGACTTGGCGTACTGAATGTATTTCTTGATGAAGGGAATGCTCAAGATTTCAATGTTCTTGCTCTTGGACCGGCTCATGTGGGCCATGCCGGCGTGAAGCATGACATTGAACTTCTCGTAAACATCTGTAGGCTGGTTCGAGTCCTGCGTATCCTCGAGGCCGACACCAAGCGTTTGGTGAAGCTGTTCGCGGACAGGAGCACCCTCCTCAGTGCCGGGCTGGCGGTAGCGGTGCATACGGAGGACGTGCTCTGACACCATTCTGTCCCTGGAATCCTCAATGTCATCGGTCACGACGAAGAGTAAATCGAAACGCGACAATAGAGAATCCGGAAGGGCAATGTTCTTGTGGGGGTCTTTGTGGGGGTCGTATTGTCCGTAGATCGGATTGGCGGCGGCCAGAACACTGCATCGGGCGTTCAAACTCGTGTGAATACCGGCCTTCGCAATGGTGACAGTCTGCTGCTCCATGACTTCGTGGATAGCCACACGATCGACATCGCTCATCTTGTCGAACTCATCAATGCAGACCACACCGCGATCACCCAGAACCATGGCACCAGCTTCAAGTCTCCGCTCGCCAGTTTCCTTGTCAGACGTGACGGCAGCCGTAAGACCGACACCGGAAGATCCTCGACCTGTCGTGGCAATCGCAAGCGGGGCGGTGTTCAAAACGAAACGAAGCAGTTGAGACTTGGCGGTCGAAGGGTCACCGACCATGAGAATGTTGATATCACCACGCAAATGAGTGCCGTTGTCCAGGTTCTTCTCCATACCACCGAGCAGCATGAGCAGGATGGCCTTCTTGATGTAATCATGTCCATAGATACTGGGCGCGAGCGAGTGCGATAAGAGCTCAAAAACGCCCTTCTTCTTGGAGACTTTGTTGATGTTACGGATGTCGGTGTCGGTAATGGTGGCCTGCGCGATTCCTCCACCGGATTTCGAAGACAGTTGGATAATGTTATTCGCAAGGACAAGCGTGCGGAATGTAGCAGACGTAGACGAAGCGTTTCTGTTACCCAGAGAGCGGTAAACTCCGACCAACTGGATTCTGTCTCCTGGCTTAGCCCGATCAACCAGATCATCGTCAACAATCACATCCACACTCCGAGGTAGCTGGCCAGCCGGGGCTCTCTCAGGCATTTCTTGGATCGAGATAGTCTGGTGGTCCATATACGTGGAGAAACCGTACTCTGTGACAAGCTAATATGACGAAAAGTATTAGCCTCAGGATATAGGTACTGTACCAAGCGAACATACCGGATTCTTCTCCTCGTCTTCCTGGGGATAGATGCTCATGCTCGTGGCACCACTGGCCGTCATCGTCGCATCGATGTACTTTCTTGTAAGGAACTTCTGACCGCGCTCGCTCCAATGCACACTCTGAATGATCTTGGGTCGGACCAAAGAGCACTTCGTGACGATACCCTCGAGGGAGATCATTCGGTTCAGGTGGGAGGAACCGAGCGTCCTAGGGTTGCAGGAATATTCTCCAAATGCGCCAACAAAGCCGCAATGGTAGTTCTAGATACTGTTAGAAGCTAAACGAGCATCGTGGAGGTGCCCTGTTTCCCATACCACATCGTCTCCCGTTTCCCTCGATGGCCTATTCGGCAAAGTCTTGATGATCTCTTTGAGGGCCTTTTCGAAGGCATCAGAGTATTCATATGGTGACGTGAGAAGGCTGTGAGCGATTAGCCAGAGCGTCTGTATGAGGGAGCGATTGTTTCCTACCCATCGGCCATCTCACGGTTATGCGCTCGGATCTCATCGATGCTAACCTGCGCAACGTAGGGCATTAGCTTCCGGAACCCATATGCTATGTCCAATGTGTGAGGTTATATGCATACTATCAATCGACGCAATCCCCGATTCAACATCAACAAAATATCTGCCCGGTAACTAGTCGCTGGTTAGCGTCTGCCATGGCGTGGTCATCCATAGTTGTGGGATATAGGTTGGTGAGCAACGGACCTGCGCGCTCTCGCATCACCTATATTAGAATCGAGTTAGCCTAATGCAACCCATTGGAGCAAGTCTGTCCGGGCTTACTGGGGTCAAGAAACTCAACGGCGGCACGCACTCGATCCTGTGCGGCGTCGTCAAACTGTCCCTCCATGGCGGCGGACTTTCCCACGGACTGCTAATAAGAAGAAAATAAGGGGTATCTGGGCAGAATTGGCAATGAAGCGTGAAAACAGAAAGCAGCTAGAAGGGTGGGGTCCAGTGGGAGAAAAGCGAGCGGGGAGAAATGTCGAGGTGATTTTTGATGCTCGTTGATGGGGAAGAAAGGGTGGGTTGCCGGGAGGATCTTTCAGGTTGCCATACGCGACAGCTCAATCGGGTAATATTGGAGCGCGTCCGCCAGAAGGACGCGTGCTACCGTGTCAGTGTATTAGATGAGTCAGCCATACATAACGAATGCATATAATACGTGCATACTAGGACTTGCGCTCTAACAATTAATTACGCCGTACAACAGCACTAGTAATACCTTTGTATATTCCTCCTAATATCTTCCTTTACTTCCAAAATACTTGCATATAATTACATGAAAAATAAACATCTCTCAAGCCTCATCCACAGCGCTACAATCATAAATCACTCCTAAAGGAACCGCAGCTTCCGAATGATTATAGCCCAAGTTCAACGCCATAATCTGTCCCACGGCGACCCCATAGTAAGTAGCGAAGTCCTGCAGGGTGCCATAGCCAAGAGTAAACTGTGTCATGGTACATGCCGTATTGTCACAGATGGGAATCTTCACTGTCTCGCCCGTCTGAAGGACATCATAAGGGCCAGGGTTCAAGGCGGCAATATATCCAGTTTGAGCGGTCTGATTGATGACGGACTCGACCGTGATGTTAAATCGTTCATTGGCAATCTTCTGAATGGTGTCTCCAGGCATGATCGTATACACGTGTGGTCCACTATCGATACAAGTGTTGGTGGTCTCGGTGTTGTTGGTGCTGAAGCAACTCAGATCATCTGGGAAGGTCGGTTGAGCGGGGATGCGAAGCACCTCGCCAGCATAAATGAAGTTGGGATCAGCAAGGATATTCAACCTGGCGAGATCACAGGTTCCCATGCCGTATTTGGCAGCAATGGCAGACAAAGTGTCGTCCTCTTGAACAGTATAGGTCTCGTTCAAGGCGGTAATATCTAGGTTTATCACAGTCCCCGTGGTTGGGAGGGCTGTAGGTAGTGTGAAGTGTTAGTGTAGAAAACTGAATTGAGACAGAAAAGATAACGGACCATCATAGGTGGATGCTGGAAGAGCGGCAGCGACTGTTGTCAGGCTGAGAAGTGTTGCGGCGAGCATGGTTATGAACTTTAGCGCTCTAACTTGTTCTTAGATGAAATGGGTTAGCCGACAACTCTGACTCCCACTGGTGCAGTATTGTCCCCCTTTATATAGGCCAAAAAAAACCGCCTCTAAGTCAAAAGATTCCCAGTCCCTCCATTGTTCGGAATCAACCCACCACGAGGCCAAAGACATCACTATCCAGTTTTGGTGTCTATGACCGACTTGAGATAGCCGTGCTCCGCGAAACCTTGGTCATTGGGCACCTTTCTCGCTTTTTCTTACTCGGACTAGCATAGCTTCAACACTAAATGCAAGCAGACTGAAGCCATAGCATGGAATTTCGAGAGTCGTGCCATTCCCACATACCCCAGAGCATGGATGTCATGCGGGGTCTTCCCCACAATGACCGGGGGAACTATCGGACAAATGGAAATTCTCCAGCCCCATCCAGAGCATGGATGAGTGTGGCCTAGTGTAGATAGTTAGATAGAGTAGAGGTGTTGGTATGTGTGCGGCTGGACGTTTCGGAGGTCGGGGGCAATTGTAACATCCGATCTCCGTCAGCTTTGGGATAAGGCTTGTTCTTGACTGGGCTTGGGTAAGCAAGATCTTTTCGTAAGAGCCAGGCTAATAGTGCGTCTAGTACCACAGGGAACTTCATCATGGCGGTCTCGTGAATAAGTGAGTAATTTTAATTTGATAGAAGGATATATTCAAGGTAAGATCCTTCACAGTTGTTGGAATACAGATTGAATTGAAGTGACTTGAAATGAAAAATAAGCGTTTCCTCAATCCTCGTTCCATGCTAAGTTGGATCCAGTCCTAGAAACCACAAACACAAAACACGCACATTCCATCCTTGGATACCTCTTCGTTTGGCTCCCTAATAGATAGGCGTAAGGTAAGCGCTCAACTTCCAGAGCATGGCCTGGATAGAGGTTGCGTTCTGTTCGCAGATCATGGTGTTTTTGTCAGTCCAGTATGGGCGCGACGGCCAAGTGCAAAGCTCTTGGACCTCGCCAGCATGCTCTCCAGAAGTCACGGTGGCATTGATTGTAGTGGGCACCACACCTTCTTCCACCCACTTGACCATGTGGGCAAAATTGTCCCGAGGGAAGCCAGCATTGGGTTGCTCATCGTTGGTCGCGCAGTGGGCTGCACCAGGGACGAGATAGAACCGATACCGGTCGTTGAGTTTCTCATTACCATCAGCAAAAGAGAGGTCAGGTTACATGACCTTGCGAACCGATTCGTGGTATTGAATAGATCCGGTCGGGGGCACACTGCTATCGGCCTCCCCGTGGTAGTGAAGCAGACGGCCTCCCTTGGAGTGAAAGGGGGTGAGGTCAGGAAGCGTGGTCTGAAGAGAGTCCATGTATTTGGTCATTCCTTCGATCATCCATGCCTTTAGGTCATCGTTGGTGACTCCCCACATGTCCATTTCTGTGACATTCTGCCAGTTTAGGAACTTGGTAATCCATTCTCCGTTGGAGTTAGGAGAAGTGATCGTCCAAGAATCCGTGGTGCTGTCGTAGACAGTGGTGTCTCCAAAGCCGGCAGTAGGCTGGAAAGGAAAGTATACGAGGTCACCGTTCGAATCTTTCTGTTATTTGGGAACCAGGTCAGCAGTCTGAAGGCAAAGGAGCGCAGGTGTTGGGAAATGGTTCATACCAGTCCAGTCAGAAGATCCTCGATCACCTCAATATCTTTGGCGTTGATAGTTCCATTCTGCGCGGGAGTGGCTGAGGTCGTCTGTCTCTTGCTCCTCTTTCCGTATCCCAAGCCAAGGCTGCTGGTCGAACCAGCCTCGCTGTAGTAAGATTTACCCAGCATTGAGGAGACGTTGAAATTGCAACCACCCCATCAACCTTGCCATCCATGCCATCACAGGCATTAATCGTTGCGTTAATCACCGTATCGAATACGCAAGAAGGCGGATAATATCCAATGGTCTGAATCTGGATGGGAGGAGCGATGTGATTCACCTGCTGCTGGCCGTAGCGCATAGCAGGGGCACCCGCAACGATGCCATCATATAATTCGGGGGCACGCTGGGCTTGACTCATGGCCTCACGTCCACCTTCAGAGCAACCGATGAAGTAGGTGTACAACTTGGTAGCGTTACTCCCAACGTCGAAGAAGTTATTGGTAAAAGCCTTTCCAATCTGGGTCATCTCGGCGATGGCCTGATATCCCCAGTTGTAGATGGCAGGCCAATTGGCAGTTCCATTTCCGAGAATGACAACATCATCGAAGTCAGTGCCACCCCAGTAAGGGAATCCGCCGTCCGTGTAGCCAGTGGCGGCCCCAAAGGCGACCCCTCCAGCGACATCACCTCCTCCTGAACCGTTGTTGATCTCATACGCGGAACCACCTGTAGCGAGAAATCTGTTCTGGAATGTGTCTGGGCTCGGCATCCAATACTGGACAACTACGCGGTCGTCACCGTTCTGGTGGCTGTAGGCAAAAGATACCTCGCAGAAGTTGATGGTCAAGTCCTCCCAGAAAATAGAATCGGTGAGGGAATAGTTGCGATAGACACTGGCAGATACAGAGCTGGTATCGATGGTGATTCCAGATGGAATGTCATCGCTAGCAGTGGGCAGAACGGACGTGACATAGTCAGTCGTACACACACTGTTCAGCGATGCTGCAGATGCGACACCGACAAGAATGGCAGCAGCCAGGCAGTACATTGCAAATGAAGGGAAGGGACGGGTCTTCGACCCTAGAAAGAGCGATAGGATATAGAACAAAAGAAATTGAATGGTTGCAATTGTGGAAACAGAGTAGACAGAACTGAGACTCACGCCATTATTATACCATTGGATCCTACAGTGGTGGCTCACTTGAACCGAAGCTTTGAACCACTTACTCTTTAGCACTACCAAGACACTTACGTATGTTCTAGATACTAATTTCACGGCCTGCAACATGGGATGTTGATCATTTAGTAGCGTGTCTGGCATAGAAGATTGAGAGTCTCCGTGCCTGCGCAAATTCCCGAGAATCTTATCTTATCATTGAGCTTGAATGCGAGATCTTGAAGAATCGAAACACTTGACCACCTGTGAGTGGCTGCTCAAGTCTCCAAAAGCCGAGATTTCGGGTCAAACAACATCGGTCTTCGGTCATTGCCAGTCGGAGATTCGGCTTCACTTGCCTCAAATAGGTTGACTTTGCGAGCATCAGGTAGGAGACCCATCCCGCAGGCCGCGGCAGCTCGGCTCTATGCGATGTAGCTAACGTACGCATAGGGCACTGGTAAGGTTATGGGGTGAAGAAGTTAAATTATTAGTCTGATTTGCCATTGGGGGACTTGTTAGCTAGATATGGCCACCAGCCCACAACAGACACAACCTTGAATCCGTCGTGGCAAGATAGGAAAGAAGGCCTATCGAAAATAAGTAGGAGGTTATAGAAAAATGAGAAATTACTTTTAACTGCAATTGCCCCTCAATCTTCATAAGTACAAGCACAAAGCGAGACCAATGTATCCCTTTCCAGTACTGCCATCTTTAAGAACAACAACAGCATCCTGATAATAACCACCTGCTCATACAGTTCAATTTCCACACCAGCTGGTAAAACGCAATCGCCGTGTGGGTAAGCGAGAGCCTCGTCGTTAGGGCACTGGACAAACCCTTTGGTGCCCATGTTCGGGGAGTGTGAGTCTCACTGTGCAGGGGTTCATGTTGGTGACCCTGGGGAGACTTTGATGTAGCGATAGATGGGAAATTGGTGGTGTATGAGAGAAATATGGGAGATGATCCTGAGGAAAGACGGGGTTCAAGAAGCAAGTTATACCACTGCGCATGCAGAAGGATATGGAGCCGTGTCCTGATCACTAACGATGGAGTATAGCACTCAGCTGAATTGGTATGGTCTGAGTTCACATCTACATGATAGCATAGAACAGATGCGATCAGCCTTCCAGGATGATTTTGCAGCTACTTATTGACTTCGAAGTCAGCAGTCTGAGTTCTAGACGAGCCCTACCATGTGGTCCAAAGGCTGACGATTCACTGCTGCTTTGGTATGCCATTCACTCAGACGTGCACATTTTGTCGGTCATCGGTAGTTACCTACCTCTTCAACAACAATAGCATTCTGTTACAGACCAGCATGGTATGTAGAAAAAACAGCACTCCAAGCAGAGTTGAAGCTTCTTCGTTCACGAAACCCAGGAGACACACGGTCAAGATGGAGTTGGCATCATCAGGTCATCTTACAGGCGCCAATATAATCAGTCCACTCCTGGATATGATTCGCAACACTCTGCACCTCGATCCTCTCATCGTGGTGAACTTGGGACTCCTTGTAATTGGCATCATAACTTCCCTCCGCTCGACTGGGAATATCGTCTACGGCTACGCCGCAAAGACATGTCTGTCAACCATTCATGTAAAAGTCGATGATCCTCTCTATCACGACATCATCCGCTGGATGTCAGACCATGTATTCCAGCATCGCAATTTCCTCTCCGTTCTAGCGCACACCGCAAACAATTCCGACGCAAGAAGAATCACAAGGCTTTCACAATTGCAGGAAATCATTCACACTAATGGAACGCTCCCCCCCTGCAAGGAGGATGGCAGACGATCGTCAATCGAACTGAAGCCATTCCGTGCGTCTCGACGTTTTCGCTTCAACCAGACATGGGTTTACTTCTGTCATTCGCCCAGCAGCCTCAATTACTCCAACCCCCTGATGCACAGGGAAGACAATACCCACTTGACCCTTCAATGTCTCAGCCTATCCCTCTCATCACTCAGATCCTTCCTCGAAGAAGTCCATGCCTATTCTTGCAAGGCATCCGAATCCACCATCTCAATTTACCGCACCCAACCCTTCTATCGGGATATCCGCTCGATGGGCCCATCGCGACTCGCCCACTCCGAGATATCTCCACCATCACCCTGAACGAGAGCAAGAAAAAAAGGATCCTCCAGGATATATCCGAATACCTACACCCCAAAACCAGACAATGGTACGCCAATCACAGTATCCCTTATCGACGCGGTTACCTCTTTTCTGGACCTCCAGGCACAGGCAAGACTAGCCTTGCGTCCGCCCTCGCCGGAGTATTCGGTCTAGACATCTACGTCCTAAGCTTGCGAGATCCAACAATGAAGGAGCCAGGATTTATCCGCATGTTCTCGGATATCCCGACGCAGTGTGTCGTGTTGTTGGAAGATGTTGACGCCGCAGGACTGAACAGAAATGAACCCATGGTCCCTACTACCACCAACACAAGTAATAGTACCTACCCAGATGATAACACAAAAACACTAGGACATCCGAGAGCACCAGAACCAACCCCATATACGGCAAACGCATCCGCAATACCTCTATCCGGTTTACTCAACGCAATCGACGGCGTCTCTTCCCACGAGGGCCGCATTCTGATCATGACAACCAACGCGCCGCAGCAACTAGACCGCGCATTGATACGCCCGGGACGCGTGGACTTGCATATACGATTCGAGCTTCCGTCTCGCCAGGAGCTGAAGGACTTGTTCTTAAGTCTATACAGCTGTGACCGTCAGGGTGATCAGGAAAAGCAAGCGTTCGAGAATGAGAAAGAAAAGCTGGAAACCCTTGCGGAGCAGTTTTCGAAAAATCTGCCTGAGGGTCGGTTCAGTATTGCTGATGTCCAGCGGTTTCTGTTGCAGTATAAACGGGAGCCTAAAAAAGCGTGTGAGAATGTTGTTAGTTGGGTTGAGGAGGAATTGGGTGTCGAGGACAAACGAACTACTAATACTGAGTAGGTCTGTGATAATTGGAAGAACGGAGGGGTCTTTCGATCTAGAATACATTGCAGTACAGCTTTATGTGGTTGTTGAAAGAGAAAAAAAAATGTTTTTTCTTTTTCTTTTTTTTTTTTTTTTTACGGATAAAGAAATGGTTCTACTTGCGTTTCTATGTTTCCAGACTCTGCTCTGTGTTGGAAGAATAATGAACCTCGTATCACTATCAAGTAGTTGCTTGTTAGTAACTGAGCATAGAAAGAATGCAACTTTATGAGGGGCTCTAAGGAGATAAGCAGCATATCTTCCTCAAACAAATGTACAGTTCGCGCACAATTATGTCTTAGGACTTCGATGTTCAGCATATTAATAACAAAACAAGGATGACTGCCTTGCATCTTGAATCAGTACAACATTTACATCGATCTAACTTGAACTCCTCAGTATCCGGTCGTTGTATCCCTCCATCTGACCCTACTCTAACCTCAGCAATCCACAGCATGTACCGGGTAAACGCTGGGTTCAGCGCTCAGCCGCAAATGTCCACGCCAAGTGCCTCCATGGCTGAACTGACAGCATCCCACAGTGGTACCACTGTTGTGCAGAGTAGTCACACATTTCTCGACAGCGGCCAGGATGGTCTTTTTCTCTGCGGTCGTATCGCAGTTGGACCCCGTCGTCGTCGCCTTGTACGCATATCCCAGCACCTTCTCCCCGCTGACATCTGTACCGTAGGTCAAGGTGCACGAGTCCGCGTCCGACTTCGACTTGATGAGACCCGCCAAAAACTCCCAGATTTCAAGCCCGGCCTTGACTGTGAAGATCACGTGGGAGGAGACTTTCGCGGTAGTCACGATTTTCTGGATCGTGATGCCCGTTCTTTTCTCCAAGTCTGTCGTGTCGGATGTGACATTCGCCCATTGCCAGGCGTAGTCGGCATTGATGACCTTCAACGTCGCAGTCATATTTCCATAACCATCATCCCAGTCTGCAACGATTGGTGTGGTGATCACATCATATGTTGTTTCATTGTCTCCAGCAACACATGGATCAATAAGCCCGCATGCGAGAACGCCACACAGGACCTTGCTGAGCTTGACCATTCTCCGTCGGTGTAGCGGTGATACAGAGCACAAAGGTCGATTATGAGGAGACAAGTAAGTTGCAGGAGGTTCATGCACACTAAAGAGCGAATCTTAATCAGTACGTATTCATAGATTCAGGGCATATTGGAAGTGACGCTCCCATACCTGGTGATGGGTGCTGAAAAGAACGAGGCAAGGACAGTGAGAGACCTGAGCGATGAGTTGATGAAAGATACAGGAAGGCTCAGGGACTTTGGCCCTATATACACCTTTGCAGCCTGGGGGGCACAAGTCCTGCCAATACTCGTTTGAAAGTTTCTAATCTTCAGAGTAGTATATCAGAAGGCTCTTCAGGTATTTTGTCCGCGCTAGCGAAGCAAAGGATCAGCTAGCTAGCTTGATTTGTATGGCAGGATCTGACGAGAGGATACCTGCTGCCAGCTTTACCAGCGAGAAAAGATAAGAGAGCATTCTCCACCTCATGAAAGGCTGTGTTAATCGAATTTGCTGCGGTTTTTCTACATCCTACTCACGTTAGCTATGTGAGTTGGCCTAAGGGCAATCAATCATGATATTGCAGATCACGATGTTATCGTAGATCAAACAGCCTGTGAATGTCGAAGGAGAAAAAGGAACTGACCTGAGTAGACAAATCTGAAGCGATACACAAGTCCCAGTTTGGAGAACCGACCATCGGAAGGTACGGGCCTGATTACCGATCCGGAAAGAGCTCATTTCTCCCTTCTGCCTAAAGATACAGTATCTAGTCCCAAAACATGATGATGGCCGGTGAACATGTGCTAGTTTGTGTCTGGTGACGCGGCTTTATGAGTCTAAAAAGGATAAGCTTCTGGTCTGGATGGATAGACGGAGAAATTCCGGGATAATGGAACAGCCTCAATGGCTACTAGCAGTAGGGCAAGAGTCCCTAAGGTCAAAGTGGATTAGTTCAATTTGTATAAGCCTCCTTCCTTCATGAATTCCCGCTTTTTGGCCCCCACGTGGCTACTGACTCGCATGCTTGAGGAAATACGTAGCATGTGAAAGTCAATTCATCTGGGTTATCGACTGGATAACATGCCATGTGCACTTGAGCCTGTTGTTAGCGCTGACATGGAACTATCGCACTTCGCAAAATTTTGCCGTCACCTGATGTGGGTTGCAATCAAGTTAGTAGCTCCCAAGAATGATACAGTGAAAGATTGAGAGGGGGAATCGACGGTGAGTATTCGAGAACTAATTGATGGTGATTTGCAATTAGGCTCAAAGCAGAATTGAGGGCAAAGAAACCAAGCTGTCATGGAACTCTTCATCAATAGTGTACAATTTCAATAATGATCAGGTGCTATGCTTTGACTATACTACTATACATTCAGATCTCTTTATACATATATACATACTCGCCCAACTTGAACATCACACCCCGTCTGGGGTACATCCTAGAAATACACTTTCAACTCAACGAGTCTCACCCTCGCCTAGAGGGGTTTGTCCCTCGTTTTGGGGCTCATATATGTCCTGTTCTTCGGCATCAGAAACATCTTCTCCTTCTTCTGCCTCCTCTGCCACCCATTCTTCGTCCTCTACTTCATTTTCTCCTTCTTCTCCTTCGACCTCCATGTCCTCCTCCAGATCGTCGAACTCATCTTCATCATCTTCCACGAGACTTTCATCGTCCATCAATTCCTCCTTCGTTCCGAGTTCCTTGTCTCTTTCCTCGAGCAGCGTCTCGGCCTCCATGTCATATTCATCGGGGTAGTCGAGGGTATTTCTGAAAGGCGAGGGTGCAACATCGGAATCTTGCTCATCATCGTCCAACTCGGAGATACCAACATTAATTGGAGGCTCATCAGTTGGCTCAGAAGTGGCATCTTGTGCTTCGACTCGAATATTGCTACTGTCTTGCCCCGCCTTTTCAGCAGTAGGTTCATTCCGTGACTTAGACCTAGTCAGGCCGCCCACACCAAGAATACCGCCTGTCCACACATAACGATCACGTCCAAGTTCATCAACCATCTCGCCTTTCTCCTGCCGACGCCGGAGGAGCACACCCTGGAACTTCTCACGGAGGTAAGGAAGTCTAGCAACTGCTGCGATCGTCTTAGGCGCCGCATCGTATATAGCTTGAAGATCCGTGCCTCCCTCGTGAATGCTCTGTTCGCGAAGTCGCCTCAATGCAGCAGCCAGATATACCATGGACACGTACGTGGGCTGCATGAAGTCCGGCTGGATCTTGCTCCAGTAGCGCCGGCCCAATCTGCCCAGTACATTAGGTGGCTTTGCCCGTTTAGGATTCTCCATCGCATCAATGGTTGAAGGCACCCCCGGAGGTCGTGCACCATATCCTCGACGAAGATTATCCCACCCAGGGAAGTTGGGCATGAACTTATGTTCAAAGACAGTAAAAGCTTCAATCTGATCAGACAACCTGTCGGAGGACGCAAGCATCTGCACAAAAGTGGACCAATTGAAGGTTGTCATGGAGAAACCTGCCTCCACATACTTTGCTATGACCTCGGAGATCTTCGAAACCTCGTTTCCATAAGCCAAAGAACGCAGATACAGTGAAAGAGGGCGAGATAGCATGAAGCGGTACGCTGGTAGAATCGGGTCCTTCTTTGTCGTAGCTGACTCGGATGGCCTAGCTTGGGAGTCGTCGGGATTCACCAAGAGCTCGGCATGAGATGGCAAGGGCGGTGTACCTGGGTTGAGTTGACGACTAAGCCACTCATCAATCTCAGGAGAAGTGGGACTAGCTATCTTCAATGCACGAGTGAAAGCCAGGTTCCAGCATTCTTCCACCTGTTGGTACTGTTCAGCCTTCAGATGCGCGAGCATCAAAGCAGACAGCAAACGAAGAGGCGCGATGTCATGGTAATTCTCTTCATCAGAGTCTTTGGGTGGATGACTAGCGGTATAGTCATCGAAAAGCCTCCGAGCCGACAGATAAGCCCCCTTCATACCATAGGCAGAGATCATATATTCGTAATAAACAGCAGGGAATCCCTTCCTGGCAGACATCCTACCAGAACCCAGCAAGGGGTACTTCGTCGCCAACTTGGTAGAGTGGTAATCTGCAAGAGTCTCTGCGAGGAATTTCTCGGAATTTTCGAGACGAATGTTTGCGTGGTTGCCGACCTGACCGCCCTGTGCCAAAAGTTGCAAATCTCGCTGGATCTGACTCTTGAGCACAAGGAGTCTCGAGCCAAGTCCCGGCTGATTGAATCTGTCTTTGATTTCGCGGAAAATGATGTGCACCATGTCCCGATTGCGGTCCTTCAGGTAGCCATACAGGATGACTGCGTAGTGAAATTCAGTGGCGTAAACGCGGCGACCTCGGTGGAGTGCCCTCAGGATGCGGCGGGCAGAATCCGTCTGGCCTATAAGCACAAGACTGAGCATGAGAGCAGAATAGGTCATATCATCGGGCTCCAGTCCTGATGCATCCATCCGCGAGCGTATCCTTGATATAGCTTCCAGATCCATCCGGAAAGCATAATTCCATAGCAAGATATTCCACATTCTTACGCGAGAACCCTTGACGTCGAGGCCGAGGCAAGTCTCCGCAACGTGCTCAGCCATCTCCCACTCTGAGTTGTTGCAATAAGCCTCCACAACTGTATCAATCATGGGGGCTGTTATCTGCACGTTATGTTGTTGGGCTAGGCTGAGCAGATCACGGACATGAGTAACATCGCCCCGGTTAGCACAAAGACCCATCATTATACCAAAAGTGTGCGAGGTGGGCTCAACACCCTCTTCCATCATCTTCTTGAACATGGCGAAGGTCCCTGAAAGATCTCCTGCTTTGGAATAAGCTGTAAGCAGGATGTTCCAACATATGTCATTCGGTTGAAGGTTAAACTCTTCCGAAATTCTTCGGAACTGACGCGTGGTCTGTTCAACATCGCCAATTCTGGCGTAGACATAGAGAAGTGGAGCCACGATTTTGCGGCTTCGCGGCTTTCCGTGGTCCGAAAGGAACCTCTCGAATACATGCTGGACATTCTCCACATCACCGGCTCTCGAAAAAACAATAAGCGCCTGCCTGTAGACGTCCTCTGTCGGTTTGCGATGGAAGTGAGAAATCTCATCGAGGAAGTATAAGATACCGGTCGTGATCTCGAAAGAAGCGAGACGCTTCAACAGCTTAGCCAGAAGCTTTCGGGGTGGAGTCTCTTCCTCCATCTGCCAACGGAAATTCCGATAAACCACGATAGATCGAACAAACGTCGATCGTTGCTCTGATTCTTGAAGGGTGTTGATAAGATCAAGATAATTCCGCGAAGTGATCAAGTCCAGATGGTTGAACTTTTGCAGTAGTGCTAGAAGGGTCTCCGTCGCAGTAGCTTCGGCAAACTCCGTGCTAGAAAATACATTATTGAGTATGAAGCGAGCAGCAAGACGTACTGGACTGTTGAGACTCTGGTCTTGTAAGTAATCAGCAAGTGCTAACAAAGGCTTATGCACGGAAGACACCTGTAGCCAAGGGGCGACAGTGTGCCACAGCGACTTGTCGCCCAACGGCCTCGATCTCCAAATATCCTGCACATAATCCCATTGTTCAGAGTTCACAAACTGTGCAAAACAGTATGCCCAACATAAGACGCCGCGGCTGTATGAGATTGCTTCCTGACATATCCCATCCACATCCGAAAGATTCCCCGTAGCAATACAGGACTTGGTCATGTGCAAATAATCCTCAGAAGTTCGGGACTCGATAGGCAGGGAGTTGAGAAGTCGCCTGGCTCTTCTGTTATCAACGTCACGATCAGAGCTGCCTAGTCTCGCCAGCAATGCAGAAGTCAGGTCGAGAGGGTGACCAGCCTTTGAGAAAAGGCTCCATAATTTATCGGAATCTTCGATCTCCTCCTTATCCAATAACGCTCCAAGTTCGGTCTTGGCAGTGTCGCGGTCCTCATCGGCAATTATTTCAGCAGAGTCGTCAAGCATGTGAGCCTCAGCGTCCACCCTGCGGTCTAGGCTAACAGCCTCTGACGAGTAATTCCTGGAAACGCCAGGGACGGCCTTCCTTCTCCGTCGCGGGACAATCCTTCTTGGCGAACGTATCAAGCATGTCGCTATAAACTCCTGTGTGCGAGGGGGGTAGAGAAACTCGAGAACGGGGGCCCGCGGGTCCGTGGCTGTCCTTCCGGTTGTCGAGGTGGCGGTTGAAGTATTCGACGCGGATCTTTGCGGTGCCTGCAGGAAAACCAAAAGCTCCGCCCCCGCGCTACTGAATTGCCCAAGAGTTGAATAGATCGAACCCCGAACTCGAATGGCGCCATTGGGATCCCGGAAGAAACGCCGTCCCGCGTTCTCAAGACATCCGGCAGCCCGTTCCAGCATTACCTCGAGAAATTGCGGTGCCAAACCCTGAATTTCACCGAAACTTGACTGCGATGCATAACATATCGGGATCAAACTGTATTCGATGCCAATTGAGGTCAGCGAGCTGGGCATGCAGGAATGTGCAGAGTGCTAAGGGAGTCAGGCCATACCACGCAAAGCAATCTTGTGCACGAAGCTCACAGCCTGCCGTTAGATGGCTGCTCCTCCTGGAGAGATTTAAGAGAGGATCCGGCTTCAGAGAAGACAGAACCAACAGCTCCAAGCAAGAAAGCCAAGGGGTGTGGGTTGATGGCCGGGAGGTTGACGTGGGATAATTTTCGAGATGGCCGAGCAGCAAGCTTTCCCGATGCTGGAAAAGAGAATCCCGCGAAATCAGCCGGGGATTTGTTTGGCCGAGTCCTGACCACCTCAGCCCGCACTCATTCGGGTGGGAACACCACCATCGCCCCGAGCTCCCCCAGTCGTCGAATATTGCTGGCAAAATGGAGATCACCGATTTTATTTTCTCCCAGAGGGAGGAGAGTCTCTTGACGGGAAACTACAACGCTTATCGAGCGCACACGACCCGCAAGTTGCACAGCGCCCGCCAGCGACTTGGACAGACAACCCCCAAACGCAGCAAGTACATTGCCAAACGACCTGTGACGGCGGAAGATGTGAACAGCAATGTGGAGTATGTTCCTAAAGTCATGTTTGACATCTTTCTACGAACAACGCTATGGCTGAGTCCGCTATAAGAATTATACTAACACTCCGAGTATCTTAGATATGTCCACACCCTACTCATCAGCGCCGAACGGGCATGGGCGAACGCAATGCACATGAAGACCACTCACTCGGCAGACCCTTCGGCCAAGGGAATTAGCGGTACGACCAGGGGTCACATTATTTCAAAACTCCGGAAGGCGGTTACATATGCGAAGCAATTGGTGCTCGTTCTCGAGGATCAGGAAACTTCTGGAGCTACGGACACTGATGTCCTCGAAGCTCGTGCATACCTGGCATCCCTCTTGGGGGCATTCTTCTTGGAGAAGCGCAATTGGGAGCAGTGTCTTCAAAACTACTCCGTATCCAGAGTCGTCTATGCAGCTCTGGGTCAGCAAGTCAAGAAGGACGCCTTCCGAGACCTTCTTTCCGGCACTGTCGACCCCAGTATAAGATACGCAGCATATCAACTGAAGCTTCCGCGGTCAAAGCCCATCCCGTCTTTGGCTCTTAGCTATTTCCCATCGGACGCGACCATCAGGTCCGAGGTTGAGAAGTTGGACCCCAACTGTCTGAAGGAGGATGCAGCAGGCACACGGAGGACCGCTGACGGGGAGGTGCAGCAACTCCCTGGAAGCATCACATGGAGATCGCATACAGTTGGTTTGGAAGATGCCGCAATCTCACAGGCTCTCGCGTCCGCAGCGGCAGCTGAATCTCGTCTTAGTACATGGCTTGCGGAAGACGAGGGTAAAAATGCCTCTTCGAAAGATAAAGCCGCTGCCTACGATAACGTTATCATCGCCAGTCAAGATGCCGTCGATGCTACAAAGACTGCAATCGATGATCTCGCCGGAGAGGGAGTTGACCCGAGTGATAAGAGGATGCAGGCTCTGCAAATAACGCGGACTGCTGTTAACTATGATTTGGTTGGGTGGAGAATCGGACGTAACCGTGTTCTTTGCGGAGACAACGACGGCGTTTCTTTCGAATTTGCCCCGACCAAGCTACCCAAGGGTGCCAAGGCTTCTGACGATGCCACCGGTAAGAAGCTGGCACGGCTGCGCGAAAGAGTCGTCCTGTACGATTCTACCCTTCAAAGTATCGAATTCATTCTTGAGCTTCCTGGAGTTGCAGCGGACACAGCGTTTGTCCGGGAGTTAGATGCCAAGCGGCGGTATTTCCGTGCTCTAAGGTACAGCAGCGCAGCCCTTCAGTGCCAACATAACATGCTAACTGGAGACTTCTTAGATGTCTGACCATTGGAAGATCACACGGAATCCTGGGCAAGTCTACCAATGCCCTCGCCCTGTTTGCGCAGGCTTTGGCCCTTGTCACGGAGACCGCACGGTCGCCGCAATCCTTGACTGAAACGGAGGGGCCACCAAAGCTGGATATTTCCCGTAGCCAGGTCCAGACTCTGGAATCCACCTTGAAGGGCCTTGTTGCGCAATACCGCGGTTTGGTGACTCTGGAGAAGATGTCCGCTGAAGCACAGTCGAACTCCGTGACTCAGCGCGCCGCAATTGAGCGTCTACACGATTACGCCGGTGATGCTCTGGATCTGACCAACATTGTTCCTTATCCCCCTCAGATGCAACCGATCCCAGTGAAACCTTTGTTCCTTGATGTGGCTTGGAACTACATCGACTACCCTCGCCAAGGTGCGCCTGCTGTAGACAGGGCTCAGGCTCAACCGGAACCACAACCGGAAGAGAAGAAGGGTGGACGACGCGGCTGGTTCGGCTTTGGTCGGTAGCCTTCTGATTGTTCAGGCTACGAAAGGGTATCTAACTCACCACCGGCTTCATTGCCATGACATAGTGTGTAATGTGCTATTGCATGTCAGCACCCACCAGGTGTATCTAGCGTACATAGTAAATCTGATGATGATGATACTGCGACCAACGAATCGCTTAACAGAATAAGTCTTGACTACATATTTCAGATGACCTATTACTCTTCTATCCAATTTTGTGCTGATTTCAATCTCAAAGATATGCATAAGAGTGTATAGCTGTGCCTTTATCTCAGTACTTTGTGCTGGCTGCGGCGCCCTGAGGGACACTTTTTTCTGCCACCGCCTAAGCTTCCAGTTTTCTCAGTCAATCTCTCAGGTCTGTATATTCTTAAATCCGCTTAAATCCGGGATTTTTCCAGCGAGGTTCGCTAGGTTCTGCCGCTTAAAGCGGTATACAAGGCGGTGGGCTGCGAGGCACAATCGCTTTGTAAGGCCCAATCAGTTTGTAGTAGGGAAGATGTCTAGAACTCCTAGAAACGAGATCTCCCCATACAATACATTGAAGCAGCCAAGATTTCATCCTCGTTACTGTACTGATAGGCGGAGTATCATCCGGACGTCTCCGACTACATCCACACATCATATTGTTAAATGTCAAAGATGCTCAGTTCCCCGTGGAAACCGCACGGGCCAATTCTCCGGATAAGCCGAGCCAACATCCACTCGGAAGTTTGACAGCCGGATCACCTTTTGTGTGTCCAACAAATGGTACGATAGCAATTTGTATTGCTTGGCTACCAGTAAAATGCGTCGTCATTCAAATTCTATGGGCTGGTTAGTGGCCGGCTCCTCCGGGCATTCATTTCATGTGTACCGAAGGTTTGGAGAGGTGACTGATGTGGCGTTAATAATTTGTGGTTTGCAGATTGTCTCGGGGTGCTTTATGCGGTCTAGATTATCAGAGTTTGTTGTGAGATTAATGGTACGGATACGATGATGTAGCTTGTCTTTGTCTAGAATGGTATCGCTTGCTCCCTGGTGCTATAGTAACTTTTTATTCTTATTAGACTTTCGGGAAGATAGAAATATATTCAGTGGTGGTGAATCACCACTAGTAGTACGGGATATATATTCTATGCAAGCACGGTGACTTGAAATTTTAATCCACAGGCACGTGCCTCATATACTATGGCTATGAAACTGTGGAGATGACTACATCACAGCCAGGACCACATATTTAATAAATAGTCCTATTATTTTCACAACAATCTAAAGAGATGACGGAACATCGAACACACGACATCCCCAGGGTTCGTAATACAATTGCCATCCAGTTAATATGGGTTTGGACCGTTCTGACTATTGAGCGGGAATGGCACCCGCCTCCCCTTTACAAGATCGGTACCTGGTGCTAGTGATTCGAGCTAGCCATAACCTGCCTAGCGACTGCTCAAAGGAGCAAGCGCCGTCTGACAATTGGCTGCAGCGCATGTGGGATGTTGCCAAACGAGCCATTCTCGTCAGAATCGGGACACGGATGTACGGCGTGGAAATACGCGCGGATACGAGCGATCATCCAGGGGCAGTTGGACTGTCTCCTCCACATCAGCCATCCTCCCGTGCAGATTTGATTCCTTCTTCCTCCGTACAAGGGTTTGCTTAAGATTCCCACGTAAGCCCACAAATTGCAGGGTGTCGGTCACGAAAAATATTATCATTCGACCAGCTGTTCCTAAATTCTAGTAATATTCTAGAATTTTACGATTGACTACTTTATACTCTTGTTTACTTTAGAATCTGTTCTGCGCCGTGAAAAACAAAGACTTTAATCATAATATTCTGCCGATCCTGCACATCGGGGGCTTCCTGCGTCGCCGTACTGTCAGCGTCCGGCGTTCCGGCCAATCCAGAGCGAGTTTGTCTGCCCTCGCCAATAATTCTGCCCCGAAATTAGAGTTGCGTCTCCCCTGGATTCGCTTTCCTCTTCTTTTCCCTCCGCCGTCGCCGCTCTCCTCCTCCTCCTCCTCCTCCTCCCTCCTCTCCTTCCCTACCCCGTTGGAGACCGTTATACCGTCTCAATTGATCAATCAGATCATCCGACATGGCCTCTGTCAACGGGAGCTTCGTCTCCCCCTCGGCTGATGCCGTCGTCTCCCCCAGGCTCTTTGAGCCCACCGGTGTGGTCGCCTCCGTCCTCGAGGGCTTCACCGTTTGGAAGGCTTTGTTGACTCTGTTCGTTGCCGCTGTCATCTACGACCAATGTACGTCTTTCCTCTACGCCAATTTCTGAGAATTGGGGGAAAATCACGTCTCAATTCTAACCGTTCATATAGTCCGTTATCTCTGGCTCAAGGGCTCCATTGTCGGCCCAGCATGGAAGTTGCCTTTCATGGGACCTTTCCTTCAGTCGGTGAACCCCAAGTTCCACGAATACAAGGCCAAATGGGACAGCGGTGATTTGAGCTGTGTCTCCGTCTTCCACAAGTAAGTAACCCTTTGCGACATGTTCCGGATGTGTCGCGAGGCGCATGGCTGGAAGAGGCCAGATTCTTATTCATCTGCTTACAGGTTCGTTGTTATCGCATCCACTCGCGACATGTCGCGCAAGATCTTCAACTCGCCCACCTACGTCAAGCCTTGTGTGGTGGACGTTGCGCACAAGCTTCTTGGTGCCGACAACTGGGTCTTCTTGGACGGCAAAGACCACGTTGAATTCCGTAAGGGTCTCAACGGTCTTTTCACTCGCCAGGCTCTTTCCTTCTACCTCCCTCGCATGGAAGAGGTTTACAACGAGTACTACGCCCGTTTCTTGCGCATCTCCAAGGAGAACAACTTCAAGCCTACTCCTTGGATGCCCGAATTCCGTGAGCTCATGTGCGCCGTGTCCTGCCGTACTTTCGTCGGCCACTACATCACCGAAGAAGCTATCCAGAAGATCGCCGATGACTACTACATGATCACTGCTGCCCTGGAGCTGGTCAACTTTCCCTTCATCCTGCCTTACACCAAGGCCTGGTACGGCAAGAAGGCCGCCGACATGGTTCTGGCCGAGTTCTCCAACTGTGCTGCCAAGAGTAAGGCTCGCATGGCTGCTGGCGGAGAAATCTCTTGTATCATGGACGCGTGGGTCAAGGCTCAGCAGGACTCCGCCAAGTACCGTGAGAAGATCGCTCAGGGTATCCAAGTCGATGCCAGTGAAAAGCCCGCCCAGGTCCTGCGTGACTTCACCGATTACGAAATCGCCCAGACCGTCTTCACCTTCCTGTTCGCCTCCCAGGATGCCACTAGTGCTGCCTCTACCTGGTTGTTCCAGCTCATGGCCGACCGCCCCGATGTTCTCGACAAGGTCCGCGAGGAGAACTTGGCCGTTCGCAACGGTGATATCAAAGCCCCTCTGACCATGGAGCTGCTTGACCAGCTGCCCTACACTCGTGCTGTCGTCAAGGAGACTCTGCGTTACCGCCCTCCCGTTATCATGGTTCCCTACCTGGTCAAGAAGGACTTCCCCATTAGCGAGAACGTCACCGTGAGCAAGGGCTCCATGATCATTCCCTCGGTGTGGCCCGCCTGCCACGATGAGGAGGCTTACCCCAACGCCGACTCTTTCGACCCTGATCGCTGGATCACTGGTACCGCCGAGCAGCAGACCAAGAACTGGCTCGTTTTCGGAACCGGTCCCCACTACTGCCTTGGTCAGACCTACGCCCAGCTGAACCTGATGGCCATGATTGGCAAGGCTAGTATGGAGATGGATTGGGAGCACACTCCCACTCCCGAGTCGGAAGACATCAAGGTCTTTGCCACAATCTTCCCCCAGGTATGTTTCCTTGCGCTACATCGAAACGAATTGAAAGCTAACAAAGCCCAGGATGATTGCCTGCTTGCATTCCGTCCCCGCCCTTGAGCGTTTCTGCCGTCTTCGCTAAAGCACTAAAGACGTCAGGCGCTGCAATGTCAGTTATGCCGGATTCTCCTGCCTTGCTGAAAAAAAGCAAGCGCCTGCTTCGTGACTACGGGCACCCTTTTCTGTCCTGGTGATAGAATGGCTGCAGGCATTTTTTCTTTTGCCTTTTTGAAATGTAACTACTTGTAGTATTGTTTTTCCTTTTTCCAATCCTTTCTGAACATTTTGGATGGGAGTTGCGGACGGTCGACCTTTGAGGTACGGCCACTGGCCTCTGTCTGTTGGAGGCACCGACGCCGCGGACAGGGTGTCTGGAGTAACATGATATCGAAACGATCCATCTGCGGTCGTCCGCTCCCGCGATGAGCGACGCATTGAAGGACATGTCATTTTTAGACCACGCTACCTAGAATTAATAATAATAATGTGACATCTGAGCTGCTAGCCAGGGAATAGATACCATCACTAGCCCTATGTGAAAGATGTAGTTGAATAAGCTTATTCCCACCACTCTCCAATAATCCGTGTTTGGATTCACATCTAGCCTTCGCCATCACTACCAAAACCCTTCACCAAACCATAGTCATCATGGTATATAAGGCCCATCTCTTCCACCCCCAGGACTTTCTCTACTCCAACAACCCAATTCTGGTAAAACATCTATATATACACTGCCCAACTCTGCAAGAACAATACAGCATCTCTCCAAGCACATACTACCCTCCTAACTCATCTACATTCACCAAAATGTCCACTGCCAATAGCAATCTGCCCATCCAAACCCTACATCAGACAAAGATGCTTTCTCACTAACAACTACTGCCTACAAAACATCGAATACCTCCAACAAGCCTATATACAACATGCAATATACAAAGGGCAAACCAATCGGCATGCAACCGCTGCCGTCTGCCCTCTAATGCCACACCCAGAACTAGAAGAACACAAAGAAGGCATGTTGGGCTCCTCTAGTGGCCACTATGCTTGCGCCCATCTACCGAATAAAATACAAATCTACACAACCAACACAACTCTGCCAGAAATGCCGGTTATCTGGACGGTGCATCTCTACCAGCTAGTATTAGCTACTAGGCTAGTTGGAAGTGGAAGGGAAGCATATGTGGTTCCTATTTAAAACCCATACTGTTCAGCGATGGCTGGGATAGAACAAAAGCATGGACAAGAGATCTTTCTGGAAGCTTGTCGGGAGGCTGTCGATACTACCACGAGCTGATAGCATTACATATTGGGATATAGCATATGACACCACATGTGGATGGCGAAGAGACTGTGGACGACGATATATTATATGTACGCAATGGCTTGCAAGAGGACAAGATTCTGATGAGTCTTTGACACTTACTTTTTTTGTCCCATATTTACCTACAACACGGTGATTGTTTGAATGTAACAGCGATGTCGGACTTGTATACCATGGGGCTACTATTACATCACGACGGGATTTAAGTGCGCATTTAAGCGGTTCTTATATCCGGCATAGAAGGAATGCAAGACCTGACTGCCGATGAAGATTCAGAAGTGGACATGCATACCTGTGCATCGATTTCGAGAACCGCTGCGATAATAAAAGAATCAGGAATCAACGATGATGACAATGTCGACAGTGAACATGGTATTCTCTATTATAGCAGTGATGTCAGTATAGCTGCAGGCATTGCCAAGGAGTATGTTCCAATCACTCAAAGTAGAGTGATTCTTCTGTCGTCCTCATTGTTGGAGGTACTAGGAGAACAATCTTTCCAGAGAGATTGGGGAGGAGGCAGGTCCATGATTTCACCCCTATAGTGTTGTTCCTTGACATCACTACTTAAATTCTGGACATCTCATCGACTTGAAGATATGCTGCCTACTGATAAAAGGGGAAACTATGGTCTTGATACTACATACAAGCAAGCCGTCGCAATTATCGAGGGATCAGCCGAGTTTACCAAGTATTTGAAACTCGTGCGGGCTAAAATACCATCAGATACTATCACCGAACGTTGGGCCGGCTCATTTATGCCAGTGTTCTGTCCTTGTTCCTTTTCTTTCATTCGAATGTGGTATATCGAGGAACATTCGTGAACGAAGACCGGTATAGGACGCAGGGGGTCGGCGGCTCGGAGTTCCTCTTAGGGCTGGGCGGCTCCTTGAATGGCCAGGCTTCGCGGGGGAGGTGAAGCAACGAGTCAAGCCTTATATACTGACTATGTATCTGCTCTTACTAGGCTACTGCGTGGAGGAGCCCATTGGGTATAAGGCATACTAAAGTCATATACTACCTCGATAATATCTCCCTTTTGGAAAGTACACCATCGCGGATAGTTTTACCACATATCAAAAACTATACTCTACCTTGGTACCGGTCTCGGAGACTCTTCTCTCTTACTCAATATCTACAGGTACACATCAACCCTGAAAAACTCGAGTCTCTCTATGCAGTTGGCCTTCCTGCCATACAGTTCATCAGACCATGAAGAAGGAGAGACCACTACAGAAGCTCAACCATCACTCACCGGGGCGGATACTGGGCGGTGACTTCGAAATTCATGCCAAAGGCGAATGCTTGCACTCTGGCAACATTAGAAACAGGCACGTTCTCTGCATCCAGGTGCACAGAATGCGCGGTTTGCGGAAGATCAAACTTCCCGTCATACAACTGGCGGCCGATACAGGCGGGCAAGAAGCCTAGGCCCATTGGGCGTGGTGGTCGCTGGAGATATTGAATAGTCTATCTACCTATGGTCTATTTATCTTCCACCATCACCACTACCATCACCATGTCCACCACGTCTACGGTAGCATCACCACCATGACTAGTGGTCCACATCCACCACATCCACGCAACATAGTCGTCTAAACACGCGAGAGCATCTGACTGATGATGACGGCAAAGATTGAGCTTATATATAATTATACATGGTGTAACAACTCGCGAATGAGAACACTCTGTTCGGTGTCAATGAAGTGTCTTTGGATGTCCTGGAGAATCCTGAGAGACACTATCACCCATTAATGTTTATTTCCTCAATAAGAATATGTTTAACCCAAAAGCAGATGAAGCCAAAAATCACCTGAATGGGCGCTGTGAGATTGGTGGTGAAGTCGGGAATCTGATCAGCCGACTATTAATTCGAAATGCGCGAATCGACTGGGCAATATAAGATCTGCGTGACAGAGTGTTTCTAGAAAGAAAGAAAGAAGATTAGCACGCTCTCTCATTATACCCTTTGGGCTTATACTTTCACATTCAAGTCTATCATTGCTAAAATTCTCTCATCTGCCATTATGGCGTTCGGAATAGCAGGCCGGATTGAAAACGTGGTAATTGAGATCCTCGATATTAGGTGCAGCGGGCACGCCGCGCCTTCCTTATTCCTTCTACGCAGAATGACATTATCATCCGTTTCCTTCACGCTTGATGTAGTCTTAGCAACACAGAAGATACACAACAGAATAAAAAAAGACCTCTTTTGATTTCTATCTATCTTTGATCCCTTGTTAGATGTTAGATGCGCCTGCACGGTCCGTGCAGGGAGCATTAGGGGTTACCACCACCACCTACCATCCCAAATCTTGCTATGCTATCCATGATAGAATAAACAAAGCATCGCAGACAGACCATGGTGGGGCCCTATGGTCAGCTAAAAAGTTGCTACACATGTGACTGCTATATTTCTTGGTCTTATGGTCTGGTGGTGGTTACCTAACCGGAATCGGTGGGTACAAACTGATGATACGATACTCGACCTGTGCGCGTTAAGGATTACTAGCTATTACTGCGAGCTTCCATAGATGTCGGATTCAGAGGTCTCTTCCCAGCTACTGTGCATATAGCGGCGCAAATATCTCCCCTGGACAGCCTCATTGCGTCCCAAGAACCACTTCAGAAGACAGTCGAAGCAAGCACCTGTAAGTAACAGGGCAAAATCCAGTTCATTTGGGCTGACAACATAAAGCTATCGGGGCTAGCGTGAAGATCTGATGGGATTGGCCCGATGGAATGGGAGACACACTGTGTTTCATCATCCCTTCTATCTGCCTCTAAAATGACCCACAAGGCATCAAGCTGCTCCGTACAGGAGGAGATATGGGTACCATGTACAAGGCGATCTGCTGCACAAGGAACTACCACCTCACATTATCATAGTGCTGTGATCGTGTCATTCCCCCCCATAGCAGCTGGAGGTGATCACTGGCCTTAAGACCTTATATAAGAAAGGGGAATATATGCAAACCGGATACCATGAGGACCGATCGTGTGGATTTACTACAACGAGGTCAGTTGTTCCCGTCATCTAGTGATTTGGTCGTATACATACCCAAGGGTTCGACTGTGTGGGTACAGCACCATGGCCCTTGTTGACATTCCGTTTATTGCAGATATTATTCATGAGGAAAAGATGTTGCTCGTTTCAGCAGAGAATGGTTGATAGAGCACAAAAATCCATTGGTCCCGAAAGTTTTCACATACAGAACAGCATTGGTAGCGGATGGAGACAAGTATGGGAAACTTGCTCTAATCTCAAATACCAACTCACGTCCCCGCATATTTTGACATAAAATGCCGACTAGCGAATGGTATAGCCTCAATACTTCCTGGTAATGACTTATAGTAACCAGTTGATTCCAGGAATGTCTCAGAGCTAGATGTATGGTCGAGAACACTGGAGCGGGCCCATGATCCAGTCTGTTGAGCGTTAAAAATGAACCAGACCACCAACTGAAGAAAGCTGGAGATTAAACTAATGGATCCCAAGGATAAGAAGGCGCCGGAACACTCCGAAGATGACGAGGCAGCAGACAGTCAGCCCGAGGATGGGATTGCGTGATTAACTCAGGACATCAATAATGGCATTCTCGATGATAATCCTTACAAATCTCTCGGTGGCTAAAGATCTCTGGGCCTCCTCGAAGGCACTAGTACTGGTCCCATATGTCGAATCAAGGTTTTGAGATTCCGGCCACTGTGTCTCCCACCAAAGATAACCTCATGGAAGTCACACCTGCTAATAAAAATCGTTTGCGGGAACAGCAAAAGTGGCTAGATAACGAGGAGTTCCAAGTGAACTGTACTGACGGACAGCTCGCGGAAATAGGTATTAGGAACAGCAAGAATCCCCGTAGCCCTAAATGGTGAAGAAGTCTCCACAAAGCCTACTCTGATTGTGGTACAACCATAGAGGTGATTTGAAGCAGTGGTCATCAGAGCTTCGAAAACCGAGTAATAAACTGGACATGTGCCGTCTACAAAAGAAAGTATTGGCGGGTTGTATCAGTCGCTCACGGACATGAGCCTATATTTACACGTCGAGCCTGAAAAACACCCCCCAGCTGAACGACATGCTGTGTGGCACGGCGTTGAAGTTCTGGCAAACCGTTTGTATAAACCGAGCGGCCGAGATAATGGTCTGGGGCTTAGTGATGGGTACTATGATTGCTGAAGTTGCCAGTGTGAGAAAGATATGTATTGCACATGAACACCTTTTCAGGATATTGCCAAAGGCTTTCGAATATATTGTGCTACCTGCTCGAACCAAGCAGGCGGCGTCTATGACAACTAAAGGATAGTTCAGCCTACGTCCGAAGCAACGTCCACTGCATTCATTGAAGATCGAGCCGCTATCCGCGACTGCGTCTTAGACGCGTTATCTCTCACAAGGGCCCGGATGGCCGACGTTTTCGACCAAGACCACAAGCCCATCCAACCAAAGGGGCAGGCCTGGCTCAAGGTGGTACACAAGACAGGTATGGGATATGTCCTACCAAACTCATCTAAACTATCACCTGTTAAATACAGTCCCTTCGAGATCATTCAACGCGTTGGAAAATTGGCATACGAACTGCGTCTACCGCCAAATTAGGCTATCCACCCTGTCGTTAGCATCATGCATCTCAAACAGGCACACGAGGATGATTTCAAACGCGAAAAGCCGAGCAAAGCGTCTGCTCCACCGGTCATAGTTAACGGCCATGAGGAGCATGAAGTCGACCGCATATTACAAGTCAAAGCCAATGAACTACTGTTGCGTCGGAAGAACGGGGACCAGACCTGGGAACCATTAGACAACGTACGGGAAGACATCCCGGAGATGCTGAAGGCATACCAGAGGGGCCAGCGAAGGCGGCGAATACTTAGACGCGAATAGACCGCTGGTCGGAAGGGCGAAGGCGAACAACGAAGACCTTGGTGTTCGTGACTCAGTTGACTTGCTACCATGTTGCTACCTGCTCGAACCAAGCAGGCGGCGTCTATGACATCTAAAGGATAAGCGAGATGAAAAAGAAGCAAAAGACGTGTTTTTCATTGTATTCTGTATGATGCTAGCTAAGAGTTCTAACGTAGGTGTAGGCGATGAAGTGTAAGAGCGTACGGTGAGGCGTTCGTCCTCCCGCTGCAGATTGTTTAGATCTTCAATTATATCTAAAACATGTAGTATAGATACATCTCTGGATAAACTATAAATGGAAGGCGGTCAACACCGCAACTGACATCACCCGAAGCCGGACTTCCATCCGTCGGATATCGGCTGTCACTCTAGCATTATCAGCTCGACAACTTTCTCGACTTGCCTATATCTCTAAACAGACATATTAAGTCACTTTCTCTGGGGTATGTACTTCTCTACACACAGATCCAATTTGTATCATACAGCCGATACCACCCAATATCGAACCACACACTAACTTCGGCAGAACACCCCCAACTACCGTCCCCATCCGCAACCGCATCAGCAACACCAACAACCTCATCTCCAACCCATAGCTTTAAGCCAACAACAACAATGGCCTCTCTCCCCTCCCTCCGCCGGGCACCCACTTCCCTCCTCACCTCCACCTCCAAGCCATCCACCTTCCTCGCCCGTTCCCTCTTCAGCACCGCCATCCCCTCCACTCGGACCTTCACAACCAGATCCTCCACCCTCCTCCCCAACAACATCACCAAAAGGACCACTGCCATCAACCCTATCACTCGCCCTCACCACCACCCCCTGATCTCCACCCCATCCATCCGCCAAAAAAGCACCAAGGACAACGACCCCCCCACCTTCCGCCAATGGGGCTTTGAAGACGTACGTCCCTACCTACCACCACAACCCCCACCCACCCACCCAACCAAAACTAACAAAAAGAAATAGATAACCGCCTCCCTCCCCAGCAACACCCCCAACAGCCCGACCCAAAAACCCATCATTCTAATCGACGTGCGCGAGCCCGCCGAGCTCTCCTCCACGGGCATCATCCCCTCGGCCGTGAGCGTGCCGCTAGCATCCCAGCCTGACGCGTTGTTCCTGACTCCGGAGGAATTCGAGACGAGGTTTGGGTTTCCCAAGCCTGGTGTGAAGGGAGAGGAAGGGGATGCGGAGATCGTGTTCTATTGTAAGGCTGGGGTGAGGGCGCGCGCGGCGGCGCAGTTGGCGGAGCAGGCCGGGTATGAGGCGGGTCGGCTGGGGGTTTATGATGGGAGTTGGTTGGATTGGGCGAAGAGGGGGGGTAGGGTGGAGAGGTGGGAGGGGGATGATAATTGATTTAATTCTTAGGTTTATATGTAAGTGGTGGTGAACGGTTGTGTGGGTGGATGGGGGTGATGGTTGTATATACTACTGTGTATCATGCGAAGTTGGTATAGTTGTGGTGTATGTATCAGTATCAGTACTATTGTTCTGGGAAAAAGTTGAACAAACAATCAATTCAACTAGAGATCCATGATTATCATTAACAGAAAAACAAAAACCTAGGTATCGACCACGCTTTACTTTTCCAACCACCTCTTCTCTTGTCCCCATCTCTCTCTCCACTCCCCCTTTCATGTCATGTACAGGCATCTTGCTTTTGATTGAAAGTCGTAGTCATTTCTCATGCAATGCTCTTTTACTTTTCTTCGTCAAATCCAAAGAATGCACCTATCATTTCCTTTCATTCTCCTCGCATAAAGCAGCACATGTCTCATCATCACGGCAATGGAACTTGAAACCGCTGTACAATACCACGTTAATGGCATGCTGGAGCCCGTTACCAAACGCCATAACCCCGCCACGCTGTACTCAAGTGAGCGCCCAGGGTCTGTGATCGATGGGCCATGCGTAGGGCTGGGTTTGGCATCCGGGCTACAGAAGGAACGGGTAAGGCGATCATGGGATGTCAAAGACAGGCTTGAGCTTCTTGACGAGACCCCACTCCTCCATGGAGACGTCGGAGCGGTAGAACTCCTTGAGGGTGTCGATACTGGCACGAGAAATGTGCGAGTACAGGGTGTCCTTGTCTTCGAGCTGACGACCGTACATGGGCTGGTTGCTTCCCTCGATCTTGACGGCCACGGAGGGTTGACCCCTCTTGCAGACCTGGATGGGCTTGTGATCACGCTCAATCGAGACACTGTATGCGTCATTAGTAATTGTAAGGTAGGGATAACAGGGACAAAAACTTACACTCTACCAAGGTCAATGATTTCCTTAGCGCCAGTCTCAGGGTTAGCCTTGACAGCCGCAACAGGAGTGTGCAGACGCAGACTTCCTTCCGCGACATCAACACCAATGACGATGGGGTCCTTCTTGTTGAACACAGCCACAGTCTTGAGCACGCAGGGGAAGACAGCAAGCATCTTGCTCTCCTCCTTGCGGCGCTCCGTCAGCTCAGCCATGTGCTTGGTGAAGTCATCGAACAGGTGGTAGATGATGTCGGCAGTGAAAATCTTGACGCCAACTTCATCAGCATAGGCAGCTGCTTCCTTGTCCACCTTGACATCGAAACACAGCATAACGGCGTACTCCTTAGCCTTCTCCAACATGGTACCGGCCATCATGACATCACGCTTGTACACAGGACCGATAGAAATGTTGGCGACGGGAATCTTGGAGACACGGAGGAACTCGAGCAGAGCTTCCAGAGATCCAAGAGTGGAGGCCTGCACGCTGACACCACGCTGGTCCCTGGAGACCTTGCTGAGCAGGTTCTCCAGATCGGACATGACCTCCTCCTCAATGTCCTCCTCGTCGTCATCCGGTCCGACAACCATCAAACGAGAACCGGCAATGGCCTGTTCAAGGTCGTTCGCGGCAATCTTAACACCAAGGGCAGCCTTGACCTCCTTGTTGTGCACGTACTGCGACTTGAGACGCAATTCCTTGAGAGGAGCTGGCGTCAGCAACGCTCGAATATTCGTTGATATGGGTCCGTTTAGACCACACAACACGATTCGATCACCCTCGCGGAGGATACCGTTCGACAGGACAACGTCAATGGTAGTACCGAGACCCTCAATGACCTTAACTTCAAGAACAGTACACTCAACCTCGGACAGGTACATCAGAGAGTTGGTCATACGCTCCTGGGTCAGAGTGGTCAACAGCTTGAGCATGTCAGGGATACCTTCACCGGTGTGGGCGGAGGTGGGAACGAGAGAGACGTTGCGGGCCATGGACTTGTTCTCGTAGAACAGCTCCGAGTTGAAACCCTGCTCAGCGAACAAGACCTTGGTGCGCTCCAAACGGGTGCGGAACTCGTTCTGAACGCCCTTGTTCTGCAAGGCCAAACTCTCCTGGAAGCCGTTGTTGTCGATCTTCTTCCAGCCGTACAGACGATCGATCTTGTTCAGAGCGACGATGAAAGGAGTACGGCGATCACGGAGCAATCTCATGGACTCGAGAGTCTGGGGCTCAAGACCGTGCATGATATCGACAACCAGAATGGCAATGTTACAAAGGGAGGAACCTCTCGAACGCAAGTTGGAGAAGGACTCGTGACCAGGGGTATCAATGATGAGCAGACCAGGGATCTTGAAGTCAAACTGGCCATCCTTGTTCACAACAGCAGTCTTCTGACGCAGAGCATCGACAGGGAAGTAAGTAGCACCGATCTGCTGCGTGATACCACCAGCTTCACCTTCCTGGACGTTTGTCTGACGAATCTTATCCAGCAACTTGGTCTTACCGGTATCGACGTGACCCAGAATACAGCAAATAGGGGAACGGAGGTTGTCCTTGGAGCGGGCAGCCATAGCCTCCTCGTGCTGCTTCTTTCTCCGCTCGGCGGCCTCGGCCTTGCGCTGAGCAATAGCCTTCTGTGCCGCGGACTGCTCCTCGTCCTCAGAGTCCTCGTCAGAGGACTCATCGGAATCTTCCTCACTCTCGTCTTCCTCAGCCAGCTTGCCGGCAGGCTTTCCGTCAGCCTTGCCATTGGTGGCGGGCTTCTCCTCTTCCTCGTCGCTAGGAGCATCCCAGCTGTCCTTCACTTCCTCGGCATCGGCAGCCTTCTCCCAGTCGTCGAGTTCGCTCTCCTCTCCGCCAGCGGCGGCGGCAGCGGCAGCAGCCTCAGCCTCAGCCTTGGCCTTCTTCTCTTCCTCCTCCTTTCTTCTGCGCTCCTCTTCAGCTTCACGCTGGGCCTTGGCGCGGGCAGCAGCAGCTTCCAGGTCATCATCCTGCTTCTTGGGTCCACGCTTCTTCCGATTCTCGTAAACAGGGCGCTTCTTCTCGGCCTGGCCCTCTTCCAGACCAGCAACCTTACCAATACCAGCCGCAAGCATCTGCTGCATGCGCCGCTCATTGCGCTCCTTGGCTTCTCTCTGGGCCTTGGTGAGCAGCTTACCCTCCTTACGAAGCTGCTCCTTCTTCTCCTTCTCCTTCTCCTTCTTCTTTTGGCGGGCCTCTTCCCGCTTCTTCTCCTCTTCCTCTTCAAGACGGAGTCTCTCCTCCTCAGCGGCTTGCGCCTCGGCTAACAGGCGCTCCTCCTCTTCACGCTGCTTGCGGAGAGCCTCCTGTTGCTTCTGGATAGCCAGCAGGTGTGCAGGGATCTTCTTCTTCTTGCCGCCGGTTTCCGGAACGGGGGCAGCAGCGGGGGCGGGGGCAGCCTCTTCCTTCTTCTCAGGTTCGGCCTTAGCGGGCTGAGCCTTCTCTGCGGGGCCGGTGGTCTTCTTCTTGGCAGCCTAGAAAATGAAGGAGACCTATTAGTTCGACACAATCACAGAATGATGAAAGGACCGCAAAAGCGCAAGAAACATACCTGCTCCCTCTTACGCTGCTTCTCACGCTCCTTCTTCTCACGCTCCTTCTCCTTCTTAGACTTCACACGGAAGCCACCCTCCTCCTCTTCAGCGGGCTTGGGTTCAGGCGCAGCAGCAGCCTTCTTAGGCTTAGCCTTTCCGGCGAACACATCGTCGTCATCGAAGGTACCCTCCTCAGGCTGCTTGCTAGCGAAATCGGCATCGCCGTTGGCCTCCTGAGTGGCATCCTCACCCTCAACGAAGTCGTTGGCCGGCTTTCCCTTCTTCGCCTTCTTGTTCTTGTTCTTCCTCAAAGCGGCGAGCAAACCACCACCACCCATGCCAGCATCCTCGTCGGCAGCACCTTCCTCAGCAGCGGGAGCTTCGGCCTCGCCACCGGGAGCAGGGACGGACTCGCCGAGCTCAGCTTCCCAGTCCTCCTCTTGCCTCTTGTTTCCCTTCTTCTTGGGCGCCATATTGATAGGTGGAGGATTCGGTCGACCTCGCTTTTATTCCTTTAAACGGATATGTAGATGGATTTACCCTATATAAAAAGATTTAAACCGTTAGTCAAGTGAATATAAAACGGTATTATGTGACCGAGCGACGTCGGCAGGCAATGAGGATGAATGGAGGTTGATGGTGGTAGTGCGCACTAACAATGAGGTATCAGCTTTCTCCGGCCCGCGCGATCTGCGGAAGGCAAAGAGTGGCGAAAGATAAGCCCGAAAAGAAAAAAATCCTTCCAAAGGGATCGTGAAGAATGGAAAAGAAAAAGAAAGAGCGAAAAACAAGCAACCGTTTTCCCCCCTGGTGGTCGATAAAGATCCAAAGGTTGGAGACTCGATGAGGCGGGAAGGACGAGTTGCCTTTGGGGTAATAAGAATTTTGGGCCGGGCGTTTGGTGGGGACAATCGCCGGATTATTATGCGAGAGGCCGCCGGTGGCCCGCGCTCTTATTGTTCACAACTGGCACACAATAATCACCTTTGTACTATTAAGCTGCTGGCTGCATTCAATTTGCGTCAAAAATTAAGCATCTATGTACATAGTACAATTCTATATATAGCATGCTGCCAAATTTTGTCCTTCACAACAGAAATTGTAGATAATCCCTAGACATCCACCGGGAGAATCCGCTGCAGCCATCTCATAACGCTCGCAACAGCATCGCTTGTTTCTCCCAGTACGTGTCTTGTCAATTCCGCAAATTGCTCGGGGACTCCCTGCTCTGAGCGGATTCCTGCAGCTGCCGGACCACCGAACGTCTCCTTACTTAGCATCTGCATTAGATAGCCAGACCCACGTATGAGCAAGCGGCTGAGAATGTCACCGTCAATATGCATTTGAGATGGCTGAGGGTCCATCAGCCCGACTGGGTTGCGCTGTCTTCTCCTCTTGGGAAAGAATGGGCAAATAATAGGATCACGGATGCATAGGTCCTGCAGCAAGCGTAGAAGGCGCCACTCCTTCTCACCAATAGTCAAGAAACGATAAATTGTGCCATTCATCGCAGTACCATAGAATACCTGAGAGCTAGTGGAAAGAGGTGACTTATCAGAGCCAGAACTGAGCCTCATCACCGACGAGGGGAGGTGTGCTTCACACAGAGCTGTGGGTAGCATCTTGTTGGTCTCTGTCACACCATTCTCCGTCAAAAGGCTCACCCGCCCACCTCTGCTGGAGCATAGAATAAGGTTCAGCTTTCCTCCAATATAAACATGAGTGAGACCATCATGCTTTTGACGATCATAAGCATGAAGCGTTAGTTTGTCTTCTGTGGCCTTGAGCACCATAAGTGACTCCCTCGACGTGGTCATGTAGAGGTACGGCTCCCTGGCGGTTATGAGGACCGCCGGAGACAGGACGGAGTATCTAGCCGCTCGGATCCATCGAGTCTGCGAGAATTTTGGCTCCAGTGGCACGATTTCATGACCCGTCGATACCATCAAGGTGAACGCACCGTATGGTGCAATTGCGAAAACCGGACCCTCAAACTTGTGGATATATTTGACAGAGCATTCAATCCGAGACGGTTTCGATGGATCGCGGTATGCTTGTAGAAATATGACTCGGCCACGCTCTTGCTGATTTTTGCGAGAAGTCCCGATGACAATGAAATGATATTCCTCGTCACCTTTCCTGGGCGTCCACTCGAGTATGCAGCTGATCTTTTCTCCTGCTGCACCTTGAGGTCGCCACGGGTGGGGATCGTCATCCAAAGGTTTTTCGAGGGAATCGATAAGCGAGTGTTGCATGTCAGGGTCGACAAACTCGATGAAGGGCCGCGTGTAGCGCTTGATGGGGTCTGCATCAGTGTCGTATTCTGTCTGGGAATAAACCACTATCAAGCTTTTGAGATATTGTGAATAAGCTAGTCTGCTAGCGCTACCGGGCAAGTCGATCCTCCTTGGAACAGTCTTCGTCCCTTGCTCCAAGGTACATATCATGAGCTGTCCGTCGGCGACGCAGAAAAGCGTGTTGGAAAGTCCATCCATTTCTTGACTACCAGAACTCGAGATAGAAAAGCTATGTATGCTTTTTGGGTGGTATGCAGGCTAAAGGGTGTTATTAATGGTTGAGTTGACGAGCTCATGATACTCACATTATTCTGGTCGGTGACCCATATTCTCTGAAGAGAGTAATCGGCTTGTCCGCTGTTGCAAGATGCTTGCCAGAACCCTTGTCCACAGGTCAATAATGCAAACTCCCCCTTTCCCTGCACTTTCACCGATGTATGGCCGAGCTGTTGCGGCGTTACCTGGGTTAATGCTGCATACCAATGTGATCAGCATAGGGAACACGAATGTGTGTGACAGATCAATCCTCACCAATGGGGGCGTCAGGGTTCTCCCTGTCAAGCAACAGCCGGAATGGAACCAGGATACCGCTTCGCAAACCGCATAGAATAGTGCACATTCTCGGTGAAACTTTATCGGCCTTTCTAATGATAGCAATACTATCAATTGCTCTCGATATGTCGTTCTCACTCCCGACGTTGACAGTGGCTTCCAGTAAGAAAGAGATGCTTTCGGAGATGCGATACACCAAGACCCTTCCGTTGCTCGTGCCTAGAAACAGAAATAGGGACGAGTCAAGATTCTCCATGGTCATACAAACCGGCTCATGTTGAATTAACGAGGGTGGAGCTAGATCAAGCAACTGATGCTGGCCATCTGATGTGAGTTTCTTCACGTGAAGGTGTACTTCATCTTGTGTCCTAACAACAGCAGCGATGAGTGAGGCCGGTCCATCAACCGCAGCCACCGCAATAGTCTGGTCAGGATCGCCCTCAAAGCGATAGCCCGACATCTCTGGGGTTGTGCCAACGCAAATTGTCTTATCTGTCACTTGTAAGATAGCTCCCAATACAGTGCATCCTGCTGCCAAGGTCTGTGTGCTAGAGTCAAGCCCGGACTCTGCCTCATCGATAGCACAAAGTTCTTCCCCGAAATCAGCAGGCAAGTACAATAAAAGTGAGGACATAGGGTCAGATGTTAGAACAAAAACACCTCCGGTCGTGCCGTCTGGCATGGTCCATATATCTCTGGTTCCAGACAACTCCTCCAGCGCAACAATGAGCCCGATTTGTGCTTCAACTCCGTGCCGCAGCTCAACTACTGCACCTCGTGAGAACGAAGAAGCAGAGCAGACAAAAAGGCGATCGGTTGCAATATCCGAGGGCACCGTGTCCTCACTTTTCACAACAACGGAGTCGGTGACAGGGGTCCAGTTCATAAACTTCTGGACACACCGCGGATGGTCACGAGCTTTCTGGACAAAAAGCCCGCCATCACCTGTGGTGCCCGCTGCAAGGAGTAGGTCACCACCTTCGTAGCCAATATCCAGAATATCAAATGCTGCATCAACGTCACAGCACAGCTGGCCTAAATGTGCCTGATTCTCGAGCTCGCCGTCAGTGCCAATTCCCAAGTACGTTATTTCACCGTCTTCGCGACAGAGGTAAATGTCATCATGTTTCTGATTGTATAGCCAATTGCGCAACGGCCTCGCCCATCTGGTCCAGAGAGGGGACTTTTGAGATTCTTTCTCATAGACAGGGAGCGGGTATCTGCTGGGGAGTCTCTGAGGATCAAGCTTATTTTGGTATACCGTTATCGATGTCGTCGTGACGAGCATGAATGAAGAAGTCTTAGTCAAGGGAATCAACATAGTAGGAAGCCTATCCTCCAGCGGTAATACTTTTTTGGTCACCCGTGGGGTAGCCTGGCGTAAAGACTCGTTCGCGTCCCATTCGTAACAAACAGCTTGTGTCAACTGATCTTGAGCAATCAATAGTAGTAAAGTGATCTTGTCCCCGTCTTCAGATTTGGGATACAGAAATTCCATGGCAATTATATCGCCGTCAACGCGGAAGAAGCGCTCCTACATAAGTGACACACAAGTTAGTCGCATTTCAGTATCTAGAAGTAACTAGGACATACCTCTGCTATAGGGTCAAGTCTGTTTTGGGTCATCTGTGCTTGAATTACCGGCGGCCGCTTCAAGACGAAGATCCCAAAATAGTCACTTGAAGCACTAACTGCTACCGCACGAGACCTGCAACAACTCTCAGCCTAAGATCATCATGGAAAGGTTTCTCAAGAGGCATACCTTGGTTCCACGGCAATATTCCGGCCGAATCGTTCAAAAGCACTGACATCGTTCGGCAGCGGCCGACGATGGTAGACAAATTGGCCACTCGCGTTCGAAAAGTACAAGAATACTAGCTCTTTCGAAGCAAGGCTAAGAACCAATATTTGTGGAGGAAGATCCTGGCGCAAGTCCGAGCTCGCGCGCAGTGTCGAATTACTCGCTGCGAGCTTCATCTCCTCTTCCCAAGGCAATTCGGTGCTGACATTAATGACTTTTGCTGCCATGATACACGAGTCAAAGTCATTTTTGGTAGTGACCTCCTCCAGATGAACCCCAGATACTGCTTCTTTGATTTGCAAATGTCGCTCACCCACGAAGACGACATCGTTTTGGTCTTTGCTTCTGAGATGCGCAGGGAGAATCCATTGAATGATAGGACTTGATACTAGAGTATGCGACAATAGTCCGACTTTTGTCTGGGATGCAGAATGTATGTTTTCTGTCTCGATTTCCATCGAATCCCCACCTCCACCTGCAACGGTCGCTGAATTGTTTGCGGCTAATCCTGCACCGCTTCCTGATGTAGCCATGATAGCTTCTCTGATTGATCGTGGAGAAAGAGGGTCCGTAAAATCAAAGAAAGTGGTCCCTTGCCAAACGAAAGGATGGCAGAGGACACAAAATGAGTAGAAAGAGAGACGCGGAAAGAGAAAAGGAAAACGAAACGAAAGAGTAGAATAGCTGACCAACGGTGTCCGCAGCTGCTTTTCGACGGATACCGAGTCCTACTTCCGTGGAGCTGAAAAATTAGAGAAGAATGGGAGGGAAGGTCTCTCAAGGCTATAGCTCATGAATTCTCATGCTTGGAGTAATATGAGAAAGCAATTTCATGTCAGGAAATTGCTGAGACACCAGAGGCGAAGTGAACACAGAGCGCAGTGCTACCATGCGAGAACAGATCAAAGAGAAATACCCTCTGTAGATTCAGACACCGCTATGCAAAACAGAAACCTAGTTGGAGCATTAGCAAATTATAATTTGTGGAAGAACTTGTCACAGGCAAATGATTTGGGACATACACTCCAGTGATATCTTATGAAGACGCTTGCGGTGGTGCTAGCGATAAGTACTGAGATGGTTTCTCAAATTACCCAAACACCATATGGTTGTCCAGAAGCTTGTGTCTGACGACAAAACGCGTTCATGGGACATAGACAGCGGGGAAGTAGTATGTCGAATTAAACACGATGGCCAGCAGTGGAACCCAAGCGGTTCGCGGGAAGGTCAATTGAATATGTTTGGTTTTAGTATGATGCCATCGGCCCACTATGAGTTTGCAGCATTGTCTGCAGCTATCTTTGTGAGCCAGCAAAATTAATTCTGAATAAGACAGTTTTAGTTGCCTGCGAATTAATCAACAGTGACCCGGGGACTCGTGAGGACCTCAGCCAGCCATGTAGGAAGTCTGGAGGGGCAGTGGATCAACCATCAAAGCCTCGCCTGCTCGTTCGGGCGGTCGGCGATACAGATCCAACCAAGCAAATCACAGATCACGGGACACAGACCTGATGTGTGGCCTGAGGCGGCCACGCGTCCGTTTTGGGTTTGGCCATGGCCGCAATCACCTCCGGCTTTGCATATCGCCTATGCTATCCCATAGATATTTTGTTGCCTACATTGCGGACCTGTCGGTGAATCTGGAGAAGCCAGGGCTGGACTGGATCCCACATCTGGATTTTGAGATCCCCAAACGCAAGCTCTGATCTGGCGAGAGGCCCGTTCATCCGTTGCATCCAAGTATAGACCACTCATTGTTAACGCTATACATCGGGGTACAAATAAAAATTATATCGTCGAATTGTTCCATTTGGAGACCAAAATTGGGAATACGCAGGTTTTCACAAACAATTTCTTTGGAGTATACTGCGCGCCTCAACGATGGACCAGCCATCTGAAAATAACGAACCAGAGCACATCACGGGGACAAATCTGGAAACAGAGCAGAAGACCGCCGCCGAGGCCGAGGCCCTAGAGTCAGAGAAACTCAAGAACGCGGAGCTCGAAAACCTCAGAGCCGAAAAAGAAACGGCAATCCGCCAAGCATGCGACTTGCGTGATATTGATGCATTAGTCTCATACGCTACCTCAGAAGGTGGCTTCCTCAATGATGATGTCCGGCGAACAGCCTGTGAGCGCTACCTAATACCAGTTATATACATTATCTGACGTCCGATAAGGGCCCATTCTTCTACAGTGTGATCGACGAGGACCCAATTTCGATTTCACGGGATGGGAACATCTACCTGCACATATTGACGAAGAACAAGTTCAGCTTGATGTGAACAGGTCATTTGTCTACTACCCTGAATGTAAGTCATCCATTCAGTTGTTTTGGCGATTGGTGATGTCTAACTTGACTAGGCTCTGACCAGGAGCTCTCTATCAAGAAGGATGAGCTCTCCAAATTGATCAAGCAAGTCCTACGGTGCTTTCCCATGCTCTGCTACTTTCAGGGCTATCATGATATCGTTCAAGTCCTACTATTAGTGCTCGGTGGACAAAATAGCGCTGCTGCTGTGGCACAAATATCTCTTCTTCGGATAAGAGATTACATGTTGCCGTCCCTTTCGCCAGCGCTGAAACATCTAGAGCTGATCCCTGCGATTATTGAAAAGGCTGACCCTGCATTACGGCGTCACCTCGCCGAAATCAAACCATTCTTTGCACTCGCCGCAACTTTGACGATGTACTCTCACGACATCCAAGAATATAGTGACATTGCACGCCTTTTCGATTTCCTGCTGGCCCAGGAACCAGTAGTCTCCATATACCTCTTTGCGGCAATCATCATCTCCCGCAAGAAAGAATTGCTTGAATTCTCAGTCGATGAAACCGATATGCTGCATTTTACCCTGTCCAAGCTTCCAAACCCCTTGGATCTTGAGGGTTTGATATCCCGCGCGATGCAGCTTTTTGAAGCTCACCCGCCGGAAAGTCTACCATTCGGAGCCTGGAAGCGCATTCCAGAGTGCAGTGTATTGAAATCTTCAAGGGATCTCGTCAGGATCCAAGGACCCGATGAAACAGTCGACCTCTTCGCGAAACAAGTACGGCATCTACGGTGGGAAGAGCGGAAGGAGAAGACCGTCGCTTTCTTGTGGAATCACAGACGGACAATCGGCTCGGTGGCCGTGACAGTGTTCATTGGTGCTATGTCATTCTGGATCAAGAAGAGGGGATTTGACAATACGATATGGGCGTATGTCAGTAGGTTCCATGGGGCTTTGCAGGCCCGAGGCTATCTTTAATCTTATGTGACCATTGGGAAAGACAAAAAGGCACCGGTTCAGAAATAGGGCGTGGGATTTTATGTACAAATATTAAAGACAGGTTTGAAAAACATGCTAATAAGGAGAAAGTTAGTTTTACGAGACAAAGAACAGCCTCAGCACACAAAATAGACAGTAGAGGCGGACGCACAAAATGCGAAACACAGCCCGCGTCAGCCCGTGTTGAATAGATGGACAGTCTCCACATGGTGGCTAATGCGTGGCTTTCCCGGCAGCCGCTGAGGTGTACTCTTGCATTCCCGCATCTCCCAGGAACCGAGAGCTCAACAACCACCCTTGAAAACTAACGTGAGCTGCCCAAGATGGCGAACCAGGGCTATGATGTGGTAGTGGACGTTGACGCCGAGGTAAAACTTCAATAACAGTACGCATCCCCGATCGCAAAATACTAACATCAATTTCCAGGGCGATCTCGGCCATACCGACCTCCAAGAAGACCTCGAATTCCACCGTTCCAGTAAGCTAGCTGGCCTTGAGCACAACCACCACCTCATCCCAACGCACACCTACTTACCTCCCCTTCTCAGACTTCGAAAACGACCAACGCAACGCCAAAGCCCAACAAGACTCTGCCCCCTTCCTCGGCGGCGGTTCATCGCGCGGCCGTGACCGATCCCCCGGCGGTACCCCCTCCAAGCTCAACTGGTGGTCAATCCACTACTACTCGCAATTCTTCGATGTAGACACGAACGAAGTCCTCCGCCGCTGCGTCGCAGCCATCTACCCGCGCAGCAACTTCCTCGACGTCCTGGAAGGAAACCCGGACCTCTACGGACCCTTCTGGATCGCAACCACCGTCGTCGTCATCCTCTTCCTAACCGGTACCATCTCGCAATGGCTCTCCAACAATGACGACGAGCACTTCGAATACGATTTCACTTTGCTATCCGGCGCCGCAGGCTTGGTTTACGGATACACGGGCATCATCCCCATTGCGCTGTGGGGTGCTCTAAAGTGGTTCGGCAGCTCCAGCGCGGACTTAGTCGAGTCATGGGCGCTCTATGGATACTCGAATCTGGTTTGGATTGCCGTCGCACTGGTCAGCTGGAGCCCTTTGACGGCGTTGAATTGGGCTCTGGTGGGTGTTGGCTTCGGGTGGACGGTCTTCTTCCTCCTGCGCAATTTGTACCCGGTTCTTAGTGCTACGGATGCGAAGGCTAGTAAGATCTTGCTGATTCTGGTCATTGTCCTGCATGCTGGGTTTGCGTTGGCGATAAAGATCTTGTTCTTTGCGTAAGTGGTTCCCTGGCCCCTACTCTGGTGTGCTATTCTACTGTGAGGGATTGTGACTAATATTGGCTTATGTGCAGACATGGAAGTCCCGTTTCGAAGAAGAATAAGGACCACGATGACGACGATGACCACGACGACGACAAGCGACGGATGTTTGGTGGTTGGTAGAAAAGGTGCTAGATGTCGGTGTTGGTATCGGTGTGGTTTCCTCCGGATGTTCTATTGATCTGTTGCTGTCTTTCCCCCGCCAGGGGACCATGACATTTGCTCCGGCAGCAATATGTCATGTCATATCATGTGTCGACTTGCTGGTTTATGTTCGCAAGTGTTGTTATCTCTGATGTCGTTCCCGCCGTTTTGTCCGTTGAACGTTTTCGTTTCCACCAAGCCGTGCTGCATGTGTGTATGTGTATCTACTAAGAATGCGACGAGAGCTTTTTTTGAATTTTACAGGTTGTGCTTTGATTGCAACTTCTTCCCGAGGAGTCAACTATAGACATTTGACTTCGGCTATAAGTAATGATTCATCATTCCAACGCCATGTAGAAAATCTCCCACGTTGCAATCGTATCGTAACCCCAGCAGCACTTTTCCCCAGCAACGCAGAAAAACCGTAATAAGATAGTCGTCTATTTGAGCTTCTTCTTGGGGCGGAGCTGGTTGGTGTGACCACACTTCTTCTTGCGGCAGTTGGTGGCACGGGGGGGAAGGCGGGCCTGATCGGGTTATCAATGTTAGTGGGGGGATTTTCGCTAGCCGGGACTCAAAAGAGGGGCGGGATCGAGTCGAGGGGTAAGAAGTAGTATGGATGTATGGATGGATGGACGTACGTAGCACTTGCGGCAGATGGACTTCTCGCAGTTGTACTTGGAGGCAAGAGCCTTAAGGGAGGGCTCGATGATACCACCACGCAGACGGAGGACCAGGTGAAGGGTGGACTCCTATAGTCGAGAATATAACCAGTCAGTCAAACTATATCCCTAGTGATTGATGTCGCGTCGGATGCCGATAGTCGTGAAACGTCCATGAATGCGACCGTGCCGATGGAACTATCCCCCCTCATCAAAACCTAGTTGCGTGTTGTGTCGCCCCCCACCGACCCAAATCGCATCATGTTCGTAACCGACTATCCGAGCAGACGAAATCGACGTATAAGATATTTCGCGGAACCGGTTCATTTCATACCTTCTGGATGTTGTAGTCGCTCAGGGTGCGGCCATCCTCAAGCTGCTTACCAGCGAAGATAAGACGCTGCTGATCCGGGGGGATACCCTCCTTGTCCTGGATCTTGGTCTTGACGTTGTCGATGGTGTCGCTCGACTCGACGTCGAGGGTAATGGTCTTACCCGTGAGGGTCTTGACGAAACTATTGATCGGAAAGAAGCCTGGGTCAGTTTCCTTGTTTCATTCTCGATGATATTATTCGTGCCATCTTTCGGATTTCGGGCTGGGATTCGACGGGTGGTTGCCAGGGAACTTGGAATGACCTACATCTGCACTGCAAAGACGCGGGAAAAACGACATGTTAGCTTGCGACTTCAAAGAACACGCATTTCGCATTCACGAACGAAAAGGGTATACGTACTGGCTGCGGTTTTCGTTGTTGCTGGCTGACGATCGGCTGACAAGGTCGGTCGGATGAGGCGATGTCAATTTCACGATTTCTCGCTTAGCAAAGGTGGAACGGACCGCACGTGATCAGGGTTTAGGGCAGTCCGGCCGCGTTCGGGGCCTCTCCGCAGTCTCCATAATTAGTCCGTAGACTACTACTACTTTTACATCATCCATTTAACATCATCCATACGTTGGAGGCTGCCCGTGGTCCGTGGTCCGCGGTCCGCGTTTGGTCGTGCTTTTATGATGCTCGACCCGACATCAGTGTTCAATGATGCAAATCAGCCTTCCTTCAAATAATGTTAATTTGCAGGGAAAATATAACCTCAAGGACTAACAGTATAGGATGTTTCTATTTTTGATAGTTAGATTCTACTTCAAAGACGGGACCCAATTGGCTCAGTTCCCTAGTATATATGATAGCCAAGCTCAACTTAAGTCACCATCCTCCAGCTCAGACATGCTCTCTTCATCATTGTCTGGATCCGCACTGGAGTCCCGAGTGAATTCCATGCCCATCGATCCAAAGTACTCAACCCGCCGCTGCTCTTCAAGCCAGCGGTTGATTTTATTTTCTGCTTGTGATACAGCCCTAATCAATGTAGATAGGGAAACACCGGCTACCTTGGCAGCTGTCTCGTAGAAAGACCTCGCAGTATCCGGAAGGTCAGATTCGGTTCGATACCGCGTGTAGGAGCATCCCGGCCGTGGGGTCCCCAGGTCATTATCTGCAATGACCTGTCTTGATCTCAGTTGGCTGGTGGACGCCTTGATCAATTCATCAAGAGCTTCCTCATCTGTTACGTCTGGAGTAGGAGCTGTGGTCTGGCTGTCTCCAGCACTTGGGCCAGTGGGAAAGAGATCTGCGAGGGGATTTGATACTGGAACATTGTTTAGCACTGAGGAGGGAAAATTGTGGCATTGTTCATACCTTTACTTGGATCGAGCCAGCTATTCTCGTACCAGTTCATATACTCGTCGAGCTGGGATGGCGTCATGCTGAAGACGTCTCTCTCAGTCACCAATATCTCCTTTCCCTTGCCAAGCTGACCCGCAGGCGTCTCTCGATTGTCATGATGCCTTTGTATTTGTGACCAAAGATTCCAGTCGATCACTTGCACTGTGGGCTCTTCAACAGTCGTGGGATATCGTTCAACATCGTCAAACGGGAACAGAAGCTTGGTGGTGATGACAACCAGAGCGACTAGTTGCAGCTCGGGCAGTTGGAGTGGCCTCCTCCTTCCAGATATGCTTGTAGGGTATTCAAAGTCAAACCCTAGAAGATGCTGCAACTTCTTCGCGGCGGGGTGAATATCCACTGCAAGTAGGTTAACGAATATGCATGATTGAAGACGGGGGCGTCGCATACGAGGAAGCGCAAGTCTCTTGACATATTTATATAACAAGACTGGCCAGTTCAAAGATGGGAATTGCATGTTGAATTTGTTATGATAAAGCAGCAGAAGGTCTGAGACAGCGCCATGAAGGTGCTCGGCTTGGAGTAGCCTCTATCATATAGTCAGACACGACCATCTCTTCCTAACTTATCATAGGCACTCACCGTTGTCTCAAGTATCGAAATAAACTCTTGTGGCAGTTTATCCCTCATATCTCGAGGGATAATCTTAACAATCCTGATGAAAGGAACATCACCACGCATAACCATTCTAAACATTCACTTAGCCCTTGCAAGATCCAAAGTGGTTCATACTTGACTACTCACCCATAGAAATCCCCAACACCCACTGGAAGCCTCATTAACAGGGCGCCTAGATAGCACAAAGCAATGCTATCAATAAGGCGAGGCCATGTCGCCTGCCTTCCTCTGAACCTGGTGTCGTCGGATCCATCCAGGCCCGAGGTTACCTGCGAGCTGAAGAACTCAGGCTCCACATCATGTTCTGAAGGATCAATAATCTTCTCGGCATACGTCTCCAATCGGAGCGCCCAAAGATCGCGAACGACAGACTATGCGTGTATCAGTGAGCCATTCATTAGTGGTTTGCCCAAGGGGGGCTATGTCATGCATACCTCCAACTCGGACGGAAAGCCGCGGTGATGGACCAGCGCGTGACATTGCTTCCAGAGGATCAATTGGTAGACTTGCAGAAATAGACTATAGGCCTGGCGTCCCCGGTATGCTGCCCGATATTAGCCGATGTGGAGAGCGCGTCACCTCCAAACCATGATGGTAGTATGATGGTGGTGGTTGTAGTTATGGTAGGTTGGAGGCTCTCTTACTCTTTTGAGACTTCTCCGCTGCAGCCTTCTTTACGCGACTTGTCCGGCCTTGTGTGTTAAAGTCTTCGGGATCCTCTTCGACTTGACGTCCCTACGCGACAAATGGAGAATGAGTGGGCTGATCGGTCGCGTGCGTAGAATGAGTGAGGGGCGGGAGAGAGGGGGAAGATCAGACCTCTTGTTGATGACCCCGCCTGCAGAACCAGAGGCCATTATCCAGATAATACCGTCGTTCACGGCACCCTTCCTGCCCGCAAACCCCTCGGGTGATGTACTCCATCCAGGGCAGCGCTCTTCATTCTTCCTTGTCCAAAGGTTATGGAGGAACAGAAGGCCTGGGTCTTCCGGAGCGGGTCAGCGCAGCTACCAGAGATTTGTTACCAGTCAGATTTTTCTACCGTTGATGCAGGACCCCGAAAAAGTAATATCCGCATGCGCCTTATCGCCCACTGCGTAGCCTTTAATTCTTGCGATAAGGTTGGTACTTCATTGTTTCCGTAGGTTTTATGCACGCGTGTCTCAGAATATCGGATCTACACTGGTACGCTGCTTATCTTGTCTACGAATGACATTTGGACATGACATGTTGGGAGAAAGGTAGTTAATTTTTTATTCGTCAAACTATCGTGAAAGTGCTGAACTCAAGAACTGTTTCTCTGACAAGGCAGGATTTATTCTGCCAAATTAACGTGACCATCATGGCCAGCTCAGCGTATACCCAAGGCTAAACAGACGGATATAAGGTTACGTGGCGCCGCAGCTGCCCAAAAGGCCGTATCATCCACCTGACCAAGGGCAAAGCCGAGCGAGGCTCTTCAAATACACCATGGATGACAGAGCAGTTAACGGTCCATAGACACAATAATTTAGTTGCCCTTGGGAGCCTCCTTGACATCCATGCAGACCTGCTCGCCCATGGAGGACAGGATGGTGACGTCTGGAAAGGAATTCGTCAGTAATCATGCCAAGAGCCACTTATCCAAATTGAACGGGTGTTACTCACTGCAGTCCTTCTCCTCATCGTGGAACATGCGGCGGATACGGTCGCCAACCTCACCCTCGGGAACCTTGACGTCGTCCTTGGTGTTACCGGCCTCGTCCATCAGGGAAAGGAAGTCGTCGTCAGTAACGTCAAGCTATAGCCGTGTTAGCGTGTCAAGTCCATCGAGATTGTACATGTTCCGAACTACTCACGAGCTGGTATTCCTTGCGGTAGACGTTGGGGACATCCATGTTGTGGGTGGAGGGGGACAGATCCTCAAGCTTCTTCTGGGTGAAGATATCGATGGCAACGATGTGGACCTTGGCGTGACCGTGCTTGCCAGTCTTGGAGGTGGACATCTCAACGATCTTGCAGGGGCGGCCCTTGATGACAACGTGACCGTTCTTGCGCAGGGCAGAGCACTGCATGGGGTAGGTGGCCGAGGCGCCGGCATCGGCGGACTCGAAGGTCTCGTGCTATTGAGTGTGAATATTAGCAAACTAGCCCATGATCAAGATGATAGAGGATGGTCCAAGAGTGTAGCGAAATATGCAATGTCTGCAGGAACGAGGGGGGTTGGGTGGGGGGCAGCGATCGAGATGCGAGGCCCCGAAAACACCCAACCCAACCGAGCAAGCAGGACGAAGATAGGCCGCAACTGAGTAGACCGGGAAGTTCGCAGAAGGAGAGTTAGCACCTACCTCGTCAGCCATGGTGATGGATTTTAGGGGGTATGAGGTAAAAAGTGAAAGGGAGAGGTGAGGAGGATGTTGGAATTGAGCAGGAGATTAGAGGAAAAGGAAGAGAAAAAAGCGAAGGAAGGACGAAGAGGGGGACACAGGCGAAAAGAAATCGACAAATGGACTGCGAAAAAAAGGCACTGGTTGTGGCGGGGTTTTGTGGTCGCTAGTCCCAGTCCGGTCTAGTCTCGGACAAACCACGTCCGCGGTTGCTGCAGTGCGCCGTAGCATCTCGGCCTGCTATTCCACGTATACTCCTAACGACTATAGTAATACTTGGTGGCTATCTACTCTTTATCCTCCCGTCGTTAAGTATCAGCCTGGCCTCGGCCTTACCTCCGTCTTCTCGAATGTACGCTGCCGTATAATATCTCCCAGTACCTACCTGTGTTCTGGGAGAACTTCCCTCACCTCTCCACCTCACCCCTCGATGAACCCGGGGAGCTCTCCGCTATCCGCACGCTTCTCCGTGTCGGCCTCCCAAGATGTGGCTAGACCGCATTTCGGGTCATGCGACGCCATCCGGTCCCCAATTCGATAGTCGCAGCAGTTCTCCCTTGCCTCGAAGGACCTCATCTCGCTTGGCTCCTACTCAGAACAATCGCCCCGCCTCCAGTCGCCAAGGTTCGGCGTTGTCTCTCTTGTCGACTCCGAACGACTCATCTACTTCCCTCGCTGCGACTGCGCGTGAAGGTTCCTCGCCTAAACCGAGTGCTGCAAGACCCCGCCCATCCGATGTTGCTGATCCGCTCGAGGTTTTGATTGGGATCATTGGAAAACAAGGCAAAACAAGAGACAGCTCTCCAGCGTCCGTCGCGGAAGTGAAACCCTCGGAGCTTGTGGAGGACATTGATTTCCATGGACTCAGCCTGGAAGACTTTATCGCGGAAGAAGAACAACCTAGAAAAGCCTGGCAAAGTGATGTCGGCGCCCAGACCATCCAGCAGTTCGAGAAGGAAAGGGACAAATTTCAGGACCTGCACTCGGCAATCACTGGCTGCGATGACGTCTCCAAGTCAGTTGAAATGTACTTGAATGACTTCCAGAATGAATTGGGAGCTGTATCGGCAGAAATAGAGAGTTTGCAATCTCGTTCGATACAGCTGAATGCGATGCTAGAGAACCGACGGAATGTTGAACAGCTGCTTGGACCTGCTGTGGAGGAAATCAGCTTGTCTCCGAAGACCGTCCGATTAGTGGCGGAGGGACCTATTGATGAGAACTGGGTCAAGGCTCTGAACGAGATCGAGACTCGGACGGCTAGCATCGAAGCCAAGGCCTCAGGCACCAATAGTAGCAAGTCTATCGAAGATGTGCGGCCTCTGCTGGGTGATATCAAGAAGAAGGTACTGCTTCCGGTATAAATTCACTTTACGGATTGACTAACAGACATGCAGGCAGTGGAGCGGATCCGGGACTACCTGGTGTCTCAAATTCGAGCCCTGCGATCTCCGAACATCAATGCACAGATCATCCAGCAGCAGCGACTGGTTAAGTTCAAGGACTTGTACGGCTACATATCACGAGCCCACCCCACTCTCACGGGAGAAATCACCCAGGCCTACATCAATACGATGCGATGGTATTACCTGTCGCATTTCACAAGGTATCACCAAGCACTCGAAAAAATCAAGGTCTATCCGAGCGATCGGAATGAGGTATTAGGAGGGGATCCATCCTCACATAAAACAGGTGTGTTTGGGCTTGCTGCTCAGTGCATGATTTGACTGATACTGACTGGCACAGGTAATATTGTTCCCGGCGGCCGAGCTGGTTCTGCGGCGCACGACCCCTTCTCTCTCGGCAGGAGAGTCGACATACTTAGGGCAGGTAATCAAATGGCAATATCTTCTTACTTGGCAGAGGAAGACAATGCTTTCCACGGACTCGAAGTCCCTTTCCGAAACTTCAACCTTGCTCTCCTAGATAATGTTTCCGCCGAATACTCGTTCATGACCGAGATGTTCTCCACATTGGGCTTCCAACAGATATCTCGCAAGGCCGTTGAGATCTTCGAACCAGTCTTCACCCTTGGGCAGGCCCTGACCAAGCACCTGATCGAGCAGACTACAGATGCGCTCGGAGTTCTGATCTGCGTGCGATTGAACCAGCAAGCCGCTTTCGAATTGCAGCGGCGCAAGGTGCCGGTGGCCGACTCCTATGTCAACGGAACCAACATGCAATTGTGGCCTCGGTTCCAAGTCATCATGGACACGCAGTGCGAGTCATTGAAACGGGTAGCAGCGAACACCGGCCGTAGTGCGGTCTCCGCATTGTCTCTTGCTGGAGGAGACGATCTCAACAAGTCATCCGCACCTCATTTTCTCACTCAGCGTTTTGGACAACTCCTGCACGGCATTTTGGTGCTGAGCAGTGAAGCCGGGGATGACGAGCCAGTGGCCAATAGTCTGGGCCGATTGACCACAGAGTTTGACAATCTTCTAGCAAAGCTTAGCCGGATTGGCGGCGACGCCAAACGGAGGGAGAGGTTTCTTTACAATAATTATTCGCTTGTTCTGGCTATTATTAGTGTAAGTCGATTGATCCGCTGCGGATGCTGATGCTGACGGACGCAGGATACCCATGGCAAACTAGCCACCGAACAGAAACAGGTACGTGCCACATTGCCAATTCAAAGGATCGAACTAACAGCGTGCAGCATTTGGAAGACATGCTCAAGAACGTAGGCAAGCGTGGCTAATCGATCGACATTCGTCGATAGACCCGCTGGGTTGGTCTAACTCTGCCACTGTAAATTCCATAGCCTGAGATGGCACGCCCAAATAGTCTACTGTACGATAATATGATCCATAGAAGCGACCACCCCATATAGTTAGAACATAAAGTATTACAATCAGATACCCCTGAATCAGCATACGAAATCCATGTTCCAATCTTCACCAACCAAGTATCGGGCCAGGAACATCCCCGAAGATAACGATAATAGCAGAGCTTATCGGCATCGGCACCGACGCCGACTCCGCCCGTCGTGGGGAACCACCACCACTCAAATGCTCCTCCTCACCCCAACAACCCACCCCCGTACAATGCAGGCATTGTCTAGATGATCCCACGGAGTCACCCAATTACCATGGCCACCCGTATCCTCCGTTCCATTCCCAATGGTCGCCTTTTCTCGCGGCGTGCCTTCTCCAGCACTGCCGCCTGCAGGGCCGACGTCACACATGCGGTAACCAATCCCTACCAACACCATCCATCTACGTTCTTGCAACAACCACAAACAGCAATCTAACACATCACTGTCAAGGTTATAGGCGCAGGGGTTGTCGGACTGGCAGTTGCGCGTCAACTAGCCATGAAAGAGGGCACATCGACAATTCTGCTCGAGAGACATGACGCGCCGGGGACAGAGACGAGTAGTCGCAATTCAGAGGTAAGCGTTCCAGACCCTAATTACACCAATACAATAATACTCTCAAGAACAAAAGCTAAGTAATGATCTCATAATGATAGGTCATCCACGCAGGCCTCTACTACGGCGCCGACACCCTCAAAACCTCCCTCTGCATCAAAGGCAAAGAGCTCCTGTACGCACTCTGCGCCCAACACAACATCCCACACCGCAACACCAAGAAATGGATTGTGGCCCAAACCCCAGAACAATGGGAAGCCTGTCTGCGCGTGCACGAGCATGCCAAACGCATCGGCGTCCCCACGCGCATCCTAGGCCAGGAAGAAGCGCAGCGGCGCGAACCTGAAGTGCGCGCCCTGGCCGGCATCGTGGAGAGCCCGACAACCGGCATCATCGACAGTCATTCCTTAATGACCTATCTACAAGGAGATTTCGAAGATCGCGGCGGAGACTGCGCGTTCATGACACAGGTGACGGGCATTGAACCCCTCCCTAGTAGTGAGGGCGGCGGATACCGGATCAGCGCTGTGTCAGCGGACGGGAGTGAGACGACCATCACAGCGGAGACAGTGATCAACAGTGCAGGCAATGGGGCCTGTGCGATCAATAACATGGTGATGCCGGCTGAGCGGCATCGAAAAGCTTATTTCGCCAAGGGAACGTATTTCTCTTACTCGGCTTCCACGCCGAAGACCTCGGTGCTGGTGTATCCGACTACGTTGCCGGGAACGGGCGGGCTAGGGACCCATTTGACCCTTGATATGGGCGGCAGGATCCGGTTTGGGCCGGATGTCGAGTGGGTGGAGGATCCGAGTGATTTGAGGCCCAGTCCGGCAAGGTTGCAGCAGGCGTTGCCGGAGATCAGGGCGTATTTGCCTAATGTGGATGTTGAGGCGATCGCTTTGGATTATTGTGGGATCCGGCCTAAGTTGGGGAAGGGAGGGGCGGTGAATACGGGGAAAGGGTTTCAGGATTTTGTGATTCAGGAGGAGGAAGGGTTTCCTGGATTTGTGAATTTGTTGGGCATTGAGAGTCCTGGATTGACGAGTTGTTTGGCCATTGGGGAGAGGGTGAGGGATATTTTGTATGCTTAGATAGTAGCTCCTACTTTTATGTATATAGTAGATGCAGACTTGGGTTGCGTACATACTAGTCGGGAGAAATACATAGTTTGTATATCAGAGTGGAGCATGACACAGTGAAACAGGCATAAAAAGCAGACAAAGAATACCAACACAAAGTCTAGACAAGCCTACAAGGCGAACTTGGCGGTTCCATCATCGAACAAAAGACCTCACATAACCAAGGTCGATCAAGTCTTGTTCCGCAGGCTTAGCATGGCTGGAACACCATCAAGGACGACGCGTTGGACTCCACCTCTGATTAAGCTTCTCCATCGGCTACGTCAAGACTTGTGGCAGATAGATACATACATACACTTCAGATATAGCATATTCTGCACAGTATTCCAAGTAGAAGAAAAAAATATTCTTATATCAAGAGAGAAGAGCGTACCTGAAATGACAGATCACATTCGGTTTCTATTTCTGTCAAATATAGTAGAAATGATGGGGGAGAAATATGAAAGAATCTGGAATGAACAATCAGCGAGGAGTTACCCGATACGGAAGGGCGGGTTGGGAGGGTTGTTTGCCACGCCTTTTGCCAGCAGATCCCCCGATCCCCTCAAAGTCCAGACCTGGACTTGGATCGACGGTTACGCGTGTTCGATACTTTGAAAGTACTTATATGATATGATATTCTTTCCTTGGGTTATTTTGTAGTTCGATCTGTATTATCATGCTCTGCTTTACTACCTGAAAGATTGAACTGACTACTTTCTTTTGTTATACTTCTCTTCTATCACATACTCATCTATACTGATACTACATCCCTGCTATCTGCCTACTATATACTACACACTCATCCAAAATGACCACCCCTCTACAACAACCACATCACCACCCACACACCTCCTACAACCCCTACCACCCCTACACTATCCCCAACCACGCCAACACCCACACCCAAACGAAAACCAAGAAACAACGTTCACGTCCAAACCGACGCCAACGCCAACACCAACACCCCACGCCCTCCTCCCCATCCTCATCCAAAAGCAGCAACAGTAACCGCTGCTTCACCTGGCTCCTCCTCCCCCGACAAAGCAACACACACATCGCCAAAAACCGCTCTTCATTCAGCAGCTACCGGCGAGCACCATGCAAGATCGCGAACCAGCGGGTGCTAGGCGTAGGAACAGTGCAGCTCCGCGTGCAACGGGCACCGGACGATCCGCGCACGAATACCCTTGTTTTGCATGACGTGCTGCATATGCCGAATGCCAGGTGTAATGGGATCAGTGTGGCGAAGTATACGGGGGAGAGTGAGGAGGAGACGGCGTCAGAGGGAGGCAGTAGTGCTGGGGAGAGGGCGGTTGTGGAAGAGGTTGAGAATGGGGGTGTTGTGAAGGTGAAGAGTGAGAGGGAGGATGGGGAGGGGTTGTGGTTTGCGAGGGGGAGAAATCTGGATAATGAAGGTGGGAATGGGGATGGGGATGATGGGTTGAGGGTTGTATTGGCGGGGGAGAGGAGGGATGATGCTGGTGCTGCTGGGGAGGGTGCTGCTGGTGGTAAAGGGATAATGGGGGTGGTTGCGTCGAAGGAGGAATTGGAGATGTTGAGTGAGAGGGTTAGGAATCGGTCGTGGGTATAACCTAATACCCTATTTGTGGGTTATTATATTGAACATAGATTGATATACATGCTGTCGTATTCATAAATGAGATCGTAACGCAGTTGATGGCTTCAGTTCTGGTGTAGTGGTCATTCCACATCCATTAGCACATCGCTCATGATATGTAGCACATACGAAAACTTTCGTACGCTCCACTTCCCTGTATCCTTTAGCAGTCCTGCGTAGTCCAGTAGAACGCGGCGGGCTGCTTGATAGCCTCCCTGGATGGGAACACCGCGTAGGTATATCGTCCCGCCGTTCCGAATAAAATTCAATGCTGGTTCTCCAGACGGCGGAAAAGGTTGGCCTTCTCGAGGCTCCATGAAGCTGGTGAGCCCCTCAGTGCCCACCTTCTGCCAATCAATATCATCAAAAAGCTCGATGGAATCTCCACCCTGCTGCATCTCAGAGGTATTTGGCACCATGAAGACGTAAAGACCCAGCACTAGTGCTGCGTAGAAAAGGGAGAATACAGAATGGAACATCGTATGGTCTGATGCCTTCCTATTCGTCATGGCTCGGTAGATGTGTGCTGCATGCAAGCAAGCTCGTCTGGCAGCCGGTGTTTGCGACCATGCTGAAATGTCATCGAGCGCTTTTCGGGCAGGGCCTGGACCTGAACGGCCAGCTGCCATGTCGAAGATCTGAGTATCTGCTGTTAAAGTCATGCACATATTGTGCCACATGACGGCAGCGTTGGGGTTCAGCTGATCTAGCATGTCGCCATATTTTCTTGTCAGCTGGAGCTGAAGGGATGGCAGGCATCTTGCACGCCCGTCCATGGCATATACATTGCAGGGGGCGAAGGGGTAGCTGGCACGATTTGACAGGAGTCGATAGTATGCTTCTGAAAGCCTTGATTGAACCATTGCTAGCACTGCATACATGCAGAAATCATCTATCGGGCTGTGAAGTGTTGGAATGTCGACATCCTCCGATGGCATCAGTATGGTAGGCATCAAGCTGACTTTGTCGCTACCGCTTAGCTGCATCCAGCGCATGGAAGATGTAGCTCGAAAGAGCGCTTCATCACACGGCAGTATCAGTTGAATAGAGTCTGGCACGATAATCGGACTCGTAGACATGAACGATGAGTACCAAGAGTCGAGCAGCAGTAGTCCAGTTATGAGCCTGTGATGTCAGCGGATGCTCTTCTGAATGATTGTTCAACTCACCGTTTTACTGATTCTACCTTGCTCCAGGCTTTCCACCGAGCCTCAGTATTAGGGACGGCGTCGAACAGGTGCGTGTCAAGCACCTGCCCTTCCCTAGCTGCGAAGAGTCCGTGCCGCTGTGCGATCTATAAGTCTGTCAGCCGTATTCTATGGTTCTGATTGAATGGCATACCGATATGAGATTAACATAGAGCATCTGGCACTTCTCAAGATGCTCCTTCTCCTACATCAATCAGTATAACCCAGTTTCCTTCTCAGTGAAACTTACTCCTGTCATGGCAGCCAAATTTAGAAACAGAAATGCAGCTGCAAAAGTAGACACGGTGGACAAAGAACCCTCGACTCCAACTGAACACTTGGCTAAGTCTGCTGTAATACTTCCAAGCATGGACTACAGCATATTAGCAACGCACACTGCATTTAGAGCTGATCATACCGAGAAGTTATTGACGACAAAGCTTAACGTGCCTTTGGTTCCCAACAGGACCATGCCAATGAGACACATGGCATAGAGCAAGGATGGACGGGCGTCTTTTGCAGAGAATGTTGGGATGTGGATAAACGGCACCAGTGGATGAAAGTCGCGGAAGAACAAATCTAGTGCCATGTCCAGGATTTCCGCAGGAGGAAATTTGGAGTTGCGATGTGGTTGGGTAAAGGGCGAGACTGCAGTAGCCTCAGAAGAACGCATCTGAGATTGACCTTGGCTCTGGTTGAACATTCTGTACAGACGCTGCCTGCACTCTTCATCGACGCCGTACCTCGACCCCTGCAGGTAACCCGACGGGGCGCTGGAAGAGTGGGTTGGCCTGAAAGCAAACACATTGTCCTGGTCGCTGTAGGCTACATCATGCCATAAGCTGTTCATGAGCCGCCCAGTGTTGTTGGATGGAGCAAGCCAATAGCGCTGAACACGTGCAAACCGTTCAGTGGGAATACTACTTCCAGTGCTCAAGCTCATGCTATCAATAGATGGTCGTGGTTGCTCTGAAGAAGCAACGGCCTCCCCTAACATGCCGAAATTAGAACTCCCCCTGAGGTCTATCGAACCTTGTTGTGAGATAGAGTCCCCTTGGGGCTCCAACCAGAACTGCAGTATGTCGTTATGCAATGGATCAAGAACTGTCCCTCTGTAGCATTGCTGGTCCGGAACAGGCACGTCATTCCAGCCAAGGTAACCTTGATGCTCATTTGCCATGATCTGATTAGCTACTGGTTCAGTGCGAGGTTGATGAGCAGATACGTTGGCAAGAAAGTCCAAGGAAGTCGACTGCTGATCGAGAGCCGCGGACAATGTAAAATTGTGAGGTGCCGACGAACCATGCTGGAGCGGGCGAGCACTCTCCGCACCCATACCAAGGACGTAGTTCTGATTCCCCGCTGTCATAGTTGATGGTCGATGAGCAGGAGCTTGATTGGTAGGTGTGGCAGGAATACCAGCACCTGGTCCAACCGCTGCATTGGCAGCTGGTTGATTATGACCCCTGGCATGGCGGCTTAGGACATCACTGCAACAGTGTTAGCGCGTGCAGGAGTGAAAATAGTCCACAGCTTCAATACCTTCGTGAAAATCGCTTATGACAGACACTACATTCGTAGGGCTTCTCCTTGGTATCTACCAGACGTCAGCAGGATGCAGCCATATGCAGGTCGGTTGACTTACGTGAGCGTTCGTGGCGCTTGAAATGCTCCGTTTTCTTGAACCTTCGATCGCATATGGTGCACTTTCGCAACACCATTATGGAATATTGAGGCTTTTGGCAGCAAAGAAGAACTAAGCAGTTGGTATTTAGCTGGACATGGTGTGGTCGGCTCTCGCCATTTCTTAGAAGAAGAAGAAGAGGAACCGTGATGTGAGGGGAGTGCATCGCAAACATAACCGGCTACCTGCAGCCCCGGTCTGGCTTAAGCCCCGATCGGGTAAGGCGTGGGCGCCGAACTGCCGGAGCCGTGGGGTAGCCGTACGGATACCAGATTGATACATAGTGCAGCCAATGAGAGGCACCCGATTATTGTTAGTCATCGCATCTGGGAATCCTGGGGTAATCGCTCGTATTGCATTGTCAGTGGAAGTTGTTAAGGGTTCATGAAGCATTGTATCAGAAACCCTTTGTGGAAGATTACTTTCAAGAACCAGGTGAGATGTGATCCTATTTCGCTAACCCACCCACAGATACAATTATCTCCAGCTAAGAGGCATCAGATCGACTTTGAAAGGTTGTACCAGGTCTGTATATGGGTTTACCAAATGGCTGCCTTGAAGGCTTTGCATGACCAAAAACGGAGTTTCAAAGAGAATCTCCCCTTTATGATAGGAGTCTCTATAGAAAACCCCAAATCACAAATGTACATATCGAGTCAATTGTTCGTCTTGCTGCAATTCAAAACACGTAGAACCGTAGTATTCTGGCCTTGGCACCTTTGATTGTTCCTTGAATCATGGCGACATCCGGAGCTCGTCTAGATTAACCTCAATCAGCGCTGAATAGAAATCAGTATCGTCGAGATCTCTTGAGCTCCACATGCTGGTCATATACAGCATACGATGCAGCCCGCTTCTCCTTCTGCAAGTGTACCGATCCCGTCCGAGCTTCCAACCGTGATGGAACTCGGACGGCGAACTCATGAGCGCTTGCGCGCATATGAGACAGGAAGAATTTGGCGTAAGCAGCCGCCGTGGCAGCGGCATACTCCTGCCACTGATCGTTCTTATGCGAGTCGGCATAATCACATATGCCACGAATGACAAGGCAGTCGGTGGTGGTTCTCATGACTCCTGCCGCCTCCATCTCGACACAGATCACATTTTCCTGGCCCAGGCGGTCTCGGTATCTTGCATCTCGAACGAGCTGATTACCAGATGCGATAAGACCGTAGAAAACGCTTGGGCCGTCATGCTGTCGAGTCCTTGGACGTCGGCTGCCGATGCACTTGTCACAATTTGGTCCCGTCTCAACGTGCACGTCACCTGCGTCGAATAGCATGTCTTTGTCTGCGCCTGGGTATAAGTATTTCGGTTGCATTGAGGCAATCAGATCAAGATCGTCAAGGAGCGGGTTCAAAGCGGACTCAAAGGAGATGAAGCCATTAGACTGGATTTTCGTGATGACTGCTCGTAAATAGGGCGGTGGTTGTTGTTTCTGCGCCGTCATCTTAAACTCGGAGTCCTGGATCCATTTCCCCATATCACCTTGTAGCACCCCGGTACCGACGACGACATCACCAAGCCGTATGTCCCGATTTGCGGAAGGTACTCCCCCTCCGATTCCAACGACCAGGCAGAACTTCACTCGCGGGAAAGTTCGGATCAAATGAGAAGCAACATTCGTGGCGGAATTCGTGCCATAATCATCGTGTGGGAGACCAGCAGCAACCACATTGAATCCTTTCATCCGTCCGAGACAGTAGCAATTAGGTTCATTTCGGTCTTTTTCGAGGTCAGGGTGGGTTGAATCGAACAATGCGCGGACGGCAAGAAGTTCTTTGGACAGCGCACACACAATACCTACCTCGTAGTCCTCGTGAGTAACACCTTCAGACGGGGACCTTGACAATGACAGTCTCCTGGAACCATCGGCAGTGGCAGGGGTCAAGCTTGTTCCAAGTCCTGAGTCTTGGAAGTCGCCGTCTGAATCGGACCCCGACTCATCTGAGCATGACAAGACGTCTTTCTGTTCAAGGTAGCCAGTGTCGTTCCAGGTCCAACGCAAGTCTCTGTTGTAACCAAATAGTATCGCGCCATGGCTCCAACCGCTTGGGTGTATGGAATTCGGCTCAGGTATCCTCTTTCTGAAGTGTGAAGGCAGAATTACTTGTGCCAGTTCGGAATGCTCTGTCTGTTCCGGGAGTCCAATGCACTTGCAAGCTGGGGGGCCATTATCTAGGCAGTTGCACCAGATCAATTTGTGGGTCAGTTGGACCGGTCTACTATGTGGATTTCCGAACCGATCGATGATATTTGTAAGATCATACCCACTGACTGCAAGGTAAGATTCACCTTCTGGCAATTTGCTCCAAAATGGGCATAGTTGGTGGTTATCAACCGGGCGAAGAATCTCACCAAACCCCGTCCCAAATAGCACTGCCGCACGAATATCTCTGGTAAAGTCAACCCAGCTTTTCCCTCTGATCCCCAACTTACAAAGCCGAGGATACAACGGGTCTTCCTGGGTCGCTAAATCCTTAAAATCCCATCCTTCCAGGTTTCCCCGAGACATATTGAGTAACGCTCCGCCGTCTGCCCTCATGATCTTTGCTTGATGATCCATGATCTTCTCGAGCATGTTATACAAACGATCGACTCTATCTTGAATCCGTACTGGAGGTAGAGTTGCCTCACTTGGTTCGCTCTGTTTTGCGTGGTACAGTTTCAGACTAAGGTTATCAGAGTTCAACAAGACCTCCATTGCAGAGCTTGGGCTGAATGTGTTCTCTGGAACTTTAATGTCGGTAAGATCTAACTGGAATGCAAAGCCGAGTGGATCAGTTTTGTTGAAATATAGGCAAGCAAAAAGAAGGTGCAATAGAGCGCAGGCTCCATTCACCAACCACCCCCGTTTGGCTCCTGCATCCCACATTACCACGTATTGCCTGGCAATCCACGAGAGCTTTTCAATGTACTCATCCCTAATTAGTCGATACGGTATGTCTCTGTTGCCATATATTGACGGGTCACCGCCTGTGATTAGCCTGCCTGTTGTGATCAATGTGTTGTTTAAGCTGCAGCGAGCGGACGGTGGCCCCAACCAAGACCGATTGATCGAATAACTAGCATCTGTCGCTCCTTGTGGCAAGTCAGCTTGTGAAACCCTTTTCCACCCCTAGAATCATGTTATGACATACCGGCATAGAATTTTGCGTCTGAACACCAACCAAGAAGTTGTAAGAATGAATGGATGAATCAAGGCTTGCGTGACTGAAGTTGTATAGATACAGCAGCAACAACAGAGAGTCTTTAAGTATATGATGGCAATAGTAGCTGATTAACATGATCGAGACATACGTCAATGCATAACCTGAAGGTTTGAATAGGCCCCTCATGATCCCATGATAGCTGTCGACGTCCAAATGATGGAGCATGTGGAGCAAGTCAACATGTCCGGGGCTAGCTGATTAGGGATGGGTATCCCTTACTCTTGAGGAAAGACCCACATGGCTGACAGCGAGGTGAAAGCAGTTTCATAGTGATCTGAGAGTGTCAAAGATCCCATAGATAATCCCAGGGTATTGACTATCATCAGACCCCACATGAAGGGGAGCTTCACCCCCCACAATCCATTCCTCCTCCAAAGCGGGGCTACCGCCTACGTGAATGTGGAGCCATTCTACGATAGTATCTGGGAGTATGGGACCGTATCATTTAAGCTTATTTTTGGTAGTGGGTGTTATGGGGCATAGCTAGAGGTGTTTATTGCAGGGCGCGCAGTCCATGCCACAAGTATGATTCAAAGAGTAATATTGACTGAAGGATACGCCTCTAATCAACAGCAAGAGCATCTTCCACCATTCACGTCGTCTCATGACGAAGACGCTCCATGTCCAGCTTCGACTCACTAAATGTCTGAGTTACTCTCTTGCGAGCGCGGCTTTGGCGTCCACGCACCGCTTGATGTACGCTTTATCGTCGGATACTTTGCATGTTTCTTCAGTTCCGAATAGTGACCGGAAAATTCCTGAGTCAATTGCACTAACAGATCCGATGGATCTCCGAGACACAACATGGGAGATGGTGATTCGCGGATGTGGGACGCGGCATGTTTGTCCAAATTGGGATGCTGACATCTTGTGGAAATAAGATGTGTTGGGCTCTGAGTTGGCTCTAGTACGTTGTGATATGTGAGATCTGTACTGGCTTCTGAAGAGCGAGCAGTTTAAGCTTCGCTTCCTAATGGGCCATGGATGTATGAGTAGCCGAGTCGTCCCTGTGGATAGAGCGGAGGTATCTGGAAATCCCCGCGGACGCTCGGGGACAGCCCCGCAAGAAATGTGGGGTTCCACATATGCCTTCATGCCTTCGGTCTCTCCGTTTCCGTATACTATGGTGCAACATAAGGTCTGATGGAAAATTTATCTAACTAATATTGTGAAGCTTATCTGATGGAGGTCAAGCCAAATTAGTGGTTGACAAACCTCCCACAATGATGCGTAATTCGTGACAGTACAGTAGGCAATAGAAATCTGGCGAGCACTGACATGTTTGCACAGCATTATAATAGAGGTTTTAGTTGTGGGATTTTCACACTGCTATCGCGTTTACAGCCAATCAAGTGCTTTTTCTTATCAGGATGGCATGGTTTGTCGCGCGAAGTCACATGTGCGGGGTCATACAATAATGTTTCGCGTTGAAAGCAACATGATCTTTTATGGTATTCTCTCGAGCTACGCAGTCAATTGAGTACCAAATACAGCAATGGTCAAGCCTCAATTATACCAATTGTCGGTGGGCGCCGCATTTGACGGTTTGAGCCCACAGGAAAAGCTCTATGCTCATCACATGGCGAAGTACCACACATGTCCACCCACAAACGCGCAGCGATAACTTCTGACATGTTGCATACAAGGGCTGCTTGGAATGGCACGCGAATCATCCTCCGTCAAGTATCACCCGAGGCCAATGGCATTTTCGACTTTATAATGGCCCTTTACCATAGCTGTGACGGGAATTGGGAACAACTTGCCACAGAAACTGGGGTCAGCGTTCAAGAACTAGAGAATTTCTTGAACTATGCCGCGACTTTCCTATCCAATGTTGGCAATTACTTTGTAAGAAATATTCTGGCCTCCTGGATGAGCAATTTCTCATTCGTCTAGGGATCTGGTGACCAGAAATTTACGCCTGATGTATCCGAGGAGGCTCTTACCTCTCTAGCATCAGTATCTTCGTCGGCGAGTAAACTCCTTATGCAGGTCAAAGACCCAATGATCAGCCCTCTTCCGAGCAGTTTGGGGTTTGGGCCACCCTGGACCCTTAACCCAGTCATCATATTATTTGGGTGAGGACCGCCTTGAGTCTTCAGAGGATATTGCCACGATATCAAAACTGATGGAGGATCAATCAATCTTGCCTGAAAATACTCGACTAAAGGCATATCAAGATTCTGATACTCGTTGCTATGATATTATGCAAGCATCTGTTGTGGAAGACAAGGTGGCATTGGGAGGATTTGGTGGATCGGGAGCGTCCGATAAGAAGGCATTTCTGTTGAAAGGAGATCACAAGGAAGAATTGAAACGAATGTGTGATTGTTTGCAACAAGCCATCCCATACGCATCAAATGCTGCTCAAGTGGAAATGTTGCGGCAGATAATTGATAGCTTCCAGACTGGAAGCCTCGAAGCATACCGCGAATCACTGAGGATATGGGTGAATGACAAGGCCCCTCCGGTTGAAACAGTCATAGGCTTTGTCGAGCCATATCGCGATCCATTAGGTGTTCGTGCAGAGTTTGAAGAGATAGTCGGAATACCGGATGCTGCCGAAACCAAGATATTGAATACACTCGCAACCAAAGCGAATCAATTGGTCTACAAACTTCCCTGGGTTAAAGGTACCGGTGACAGCAAGGGCCCTTACGAAAAGGAATTATTTGAGCCACCTGATTTCTCAAGCATCAACAGTGAGCTTCCATAAGCCCAACCATGCCCTGAAGCTGACACGTCTAGGTCTTGTATACTGCTCGAGTATCATTTTCCCAGGAATCAACCTTCCAAACGTCAGTAACCCATCCAAGGTCATTGCATATCGCTAACTTCTAGCAGTATAATGACATTCGACAAGATACAGGTTACAAAAACATCATCTTCAGTAACCGCATGGTGTCTGAGAGTAGTCGATCTCGCGGGTTACACATGGTGGACGCATCAGAACAAGACACTTTCAAGAAGCATCGGTTCCATGCCTACTACATCTGGGTCGTGCTGCATGAAATCCTCGGGCATGGCACGGGAAGGTTTTTGACTGAATCTTCTGATGGTGTTCCCAGTTTCGACATGGAAAATCCACCCCTGGATCCCTTTACTGGAAACCCCGTGGAAAGCTGGTATCGGGCTGGGCAAACATGGACGGGGGTGTTCAATGACCTTGCAACAACGGTGGATGAATGCAGAGCAGAACTCGTCGGCGCTTACTTGATCGACGATCTCGAAATATTGAGCATTTTTGACTACACAGGCCAAAGCGAGGTCAAGCCTGATGACAGTAAGTCGCCCCGTAGAAGCCAGAAGATTGAAGTTAAGACCGTTACTTACAGTCGCCTACAACATGTATCTTCAGCTGGGCGTCGATGGACTTCGAGGCCTTGAGAATTACGATCCCACGACCCAAGTAAGTTAAGACATGACGGATATTGAAGGCAGTGCTAACCGGTGACAGAATTGGGGACAAGCACATAGTCGAGTAAGTCTATTTTACAATCTTGCCATGTTAACGCTCCCCTAACTCCAACTTAGGCACACTATGCCATGTTTCGGCACCTCCTCCGCGACAGTGGCGGTCTCTATAGCGTTACGAGCAATCTGGAGAAGAATAGCTTGACGGTCAAAGTTGACCGATCGCGAGTAATCTCTCATGGCAAACCATCACTGGGTCGCATGCTCCTGAAACTTCATATCTATCGTTGCACCGCTGACGTCTCCAACTGTCGCCGTTTCTATGAGGATTTATCGCATGTTGACGATGAAGCTCTGAAATGGAGAGATATTGTTGTCTCCAAGAAGGATCCTCCTCTGGTGTTTAGCCAGGCTAATACTTACCTTGTCGGTGATGATGTAAAGATAAAGGAGTACGAACCCACAGCTCGAGGAGTTGTGCAAAGCTGGGCGGAAAGAAGTATTGAATAGTACTTCCCACTCGGCATATGACTACACAGCCAGAAAACAGATGTACAGAAAGCCTTCAAATGATCGCAAACTTCCCCATTGAACCCACCAAATACACCCTGCTGTACAAAACTCTGAGCAGATTGCATAATTACCTGCAAACGTTTGACCAACTCGCAGCCTCCCTCCCTTCTCTGCAAAGCTGAATCCACGTGCGAGGTGTCGTGGAAGCTAACTGCCTCTGCAAAACGGCGATGCGATATTTCAAAATCGGTAAGTCCCACGGACGATAATATTTCCCCTTCTAAACAAGCCCAGCCAAAGCAAAACGCTCCCTCTTTCCACGCAATGCGATCAATAGCGGGCATGCCAGCGATTAGTAGGCTGGAATATACTTGGAGTTGGCACATGTACTGCTGGCAGTAAGACGGTCAACTCCGTTTGTTAGATGAGCTTTAAGGCCGTTTGGCTTCTACAGTGACGTTAGCAGAGTCATTGTTAGATCATTGACTATCCCAACATGACAAAAAAGCTAACGGATTGCTAGTCTTTGTACATACAGGAATTTTCTATATGAAAATATCCGTAACTATCATGTAAGTTACAACCATTACTTCCGAATCGACACAAAGATTAACCAGATGTAGTGCAGTACAAACATAACATTTTGCAGAACAAAAAGAATGAAAGTTTAAACATCTTGTGTCGTTATACTGATATTTTTGGAAGATTCCAATTCGCTGAAAATGCCCTATATTCCTGCCTACGCAGGATTGGGGACATTCCACAAAGGCAACATAATCGAGTATGTGCCTACGCATATAAAATAACCTTATAATCCTGTCGTCTACCTGTCAAGATCATAAACTATCCGATCAAGGCCTTTGTTCGTTTGTTAACATCTTCTCACCCATCTTGGCATTACTGAAGACAATATCTATAGATATACACCGGACAACACCCAACCCCGACCGAATCAAAATCATGCCGTACTACGCTTATCTCCAAGAGCACGTCGTCGACGGGGCGCAGGAACCCGTCCTACAAAGATACTACCTGGTAACTGCTGCCAATGCCATTGCGGCCAGTGATTTCTTTGTCGGACTGGGCAAATATGCTGAGACAAAGAACGGTCGGGTGTATAGTACTACGGCCGAGACCATGGAGTGGTGGAACTGTACGGTTAGATCAGCCGGTGACATCCGATGGATCTACAACGAAATCATGGCCCATAGGCCTGAGAATTACAACAACGTTGAAGAGTTGGCCGATTGCCGTGGTAAAATCATTCTCTGCGAGTTGAACATAGCGAATTGGCCAATTATTCCTGTCACTCAGAACACTTCGCTTGATTATAGGGATCACCAAATCTAATAGATCAGCCATTTTACCATATGACGAGGATACATTGGCTGATTGGAATGCTGATGGTTGATGAAGTCTTCGTCTTGGGGACCCAGAATGGTTTATGGGTACGGTCACGTGGTTGTCGGTTTCCCGAACCTCTCAGCAGAAGCATGTATCAAGTATGACCAGAATGCGAAATAATTATGTCTTTAATCTTAAGTAGCCAAAGTAGTCCATCTTCACCCTCCATCATAATGTAAAATCCAGGGAAAAAAAGTTGTTGTAAAGCAGGGGAATGTGCTACCCCAGATCGAGACCCCACAAGATCTCCCGAGTCGGAGGGAAAGTCGGCAGAGTCAAGGCTGGCCAGGAACCCCGGCGAGTTCACCCGATTTGTCTTGCCGACGCCCGTCCCGCTATCGGAATCGTAAAATACACCCGTCGTTGTGACGGGTTCGCCCCCATTGGGCGCTTATCTAATCAATCATCACTGCCGGAGGACCCTGAATAGACTGACGGACAAGCAAAAAGTAGCTAAGAAACAATCCGTGCATTGGGGAATACCGGTAAAATCGGAGAATGTTTGACAAGGCCATCCCGCTCCGATCGCGTGCCTCAAATAGCACTTCTGAGGGGAAAGACTGGGGTGATTCAAACAAGGGGGTTGTGGACACCCCGCAGGCAGAACGTTTCTCCCCCCCACAAGTGTACGAGGCAATACGACCCCAGCGGTCAGGCAGTGGGGTCGGCTTCGGAAGGCGGCAAAGCGATGCTGAAAGTCGGCGGCGGATAATCGCTTTTGTCGGCTGCGCCATCATGTTCACTAGCCGAACGGCGAGCTACGCGATGCTGCAAGAGCCGGTCTGGCCTAGGCTGAGCTTCTTTTTTATCGCTGGCGTTGTCCTTCCTTCTCTCTTTCTCTTCTTTTCTTTCTTTCTTTTCCCCAGTTTTTTGACTCCCTCCGCAGATCTCAAATCTTTTGTTTAAGGCTGGTCGACAATCATGTCGCGGCCTGTTCCTGCGGTGTTCCGCCCCATCTGGAGGCGGAATTTCTCCGTCTCAACTGCCAAGCGCGCAATCGATAAACTATGCCCGTCCGCTCAGGAAGCGATCAAGGACATGAAGGGTTCTTCGACCCTTCTCGTCGGTGGTTTCGGTTTCGCTGGTGTCCCTACTACGTTGATTGATGCCGTCCGTGACCGTCCGGACATCAAGGATCTGACTGTCGTCTCCAACAATGCTGGAATGCCCGGTGTTGGTCTCGGTAGGTTGAGCTAGACTGCAATGCAGTAAAGATTGCAATTGGTCTAACAGACAACGATTATAGGCCAGCTGCTGGAAAGCAAGCAGATCAGCAAGATGATTGCCTCTTTTATCGGTGAAAACAAGGTCTTCGAGAAAATGTATCTCACTGGTGACCTCTCTCTGGAATTGACCCCCCAGGGTACCATTGCGGAAAAGTGTGCCGCTGGTGCCGCTGGTGTCCCTGCCTTCTATACCCCTGCTGCTTACGGAACAATTGGTACGCATACTCCAATGGCTGTCTATGTCCCGGATTTAGACTAATTATTCGGTTGTATAGTGCAATCTGGTGAACTTCCCGTTCGTTACAACAAGGACGGTAGCGTCGCTATCAAGAACGCCCCCAAGGAAGAACGCGAATTCAACGGAAAGAAATACATCCTGGAAGAATCGATTTTCGGTGACTACGCCCTGGTTAAGGTCCACAAGGCCGACAAGCTCGGTAACTGCCAGTTCCGCAAGTCCATGAACAACTTCAACGAGGCCATGGCCAAGAACGCCAAGTACACCATCGTCGAGGCCGACCACATCGTCGAAGTTGGCGAGATTGACCCCGAGAGCATTCACCTCCAGGGCATCTACGTCAACAAGGTCATCCAGAGCACCGGCGAGAAGAAGATCGAGAAGCTCACTTTCGCCAAGGACCCCAACGAGATGCTCCAGGCTGGTCAGTAACCAGTCCAAGCCCCGAGTTCATAGCGCAAATTTGCTAACATGTGTCGGTGTTGTAGGTTCCGGTGAGGCCACTATCCGTCGTGAACGTATCGTCAAGCGTGCCGCCAAGGAATTCAAGGACGGCATGTACGTCAATCTTGGTATCGGAATGCCCCTGATTGCTCCCGCCTACGTCGAGGAGGGTGTTGAGGTCGTCCTCCAGGCCGAGAACGGTATCCTGGGTCTGGGTGGCTACCCCAAGCCCGGTGAGGAGGACCCCGACTTGATCAACCCCGGCAAGGAGACCGTCACCCTGGGTCGCGGTGCTTCTGTTTTCGGTTCCCACGAGAGTTTCGGTATGATCCGCTCTGGCCGCATTGACCTGACCATGCTTGGTGCTCTCCAGGTCAGCCAGTACGGAGGTAAGCTCAGCACCTTTCACCACAAACTTATAATGAACAATACTAATCCTTGATTTCAGATCTCGCCAACTTCATGCTTCCCGGTAAGGTCAAGGGTATGGGCGGAGCCATGGACCTCGTTTCCAACCCCGAGAAGACCAAGGTCGTCGTCACCATGGTGAGTCACCCCTCTACTTATACCACCACACATACATTTGAATGTCCACCACTAACATAGTTTAAACAGGAACACACCGACAAGAAGGGCAACCCCAAGATCCTCCCCGAGTGCAGCTTCCCCCTGACCGGACCCCGCTGCGTGTGGAAGATCATCACCGATCTGGCCGTCTTCGAAGTCAGCCCCACCGAGGGTCTGACTCTTGCCGAGTACGCCGAGGGCGTGACCGTCGAGGAGATCCGCAGCAAGACTGCCGCTCCTTTCAAGGTTTCTGCTGATCTGAAGCCTATGCTGTAAATTTATTATTATACCAATTTTTTTTTTTTTTGATGCATAAGTATGATGGTTGTTTATAGATTGTGATCGTTGTATATAACATTGATGTTGATGTTGATGACTGGTTTGGTTGGATAAAAGGGGAAATTCAAAAACTAGATTAATGATATACACTACACACATCTTCAAACATAAACCATATACATACCCCCAATACAATACAATACATCACCCATGTCTCACGAAAGAGAAAGAGAAAGAGAGAGACAGATATATCAATGCGTCGTCTTCGACCTATTAACCGACCCCGTCGTGCCCTTACGCGTCCCCTCAACAGGATTCGGCGCAGTACCGGTATTCATCCTCCTGGCGGCAGCGACATTCGGGGCCTTGAAGGCAATATCATTCTGCTCGCGGTATTCCTCTTCCTCTTCTTCTTGCTGCTCGTGCCAGGCATTCTCGTAGTCGTCGATGGGGAGGTCGTCGTCGCGGACAGCGCCGTGGACTTTCTTCGGTTGTGGGGGTGGGGAGGCGACTGGTTTGGAGGGCATTTTGGATGAGTAGAGGATTGGCTGGATTAGATTGGTTTATTGGAGGTGATTCTTGGTTGGTAGGGGATTTTCTATAGAGTTTTGATTGCGAAAGGGATGTGATGGGGCAGGAGATGGGGGAAGAGAAGTTGGTTCGAATAGCCAGGTATATCAGTAGCGTAGGTTGGAAGGAGCGTTATGATGAGGTCATGCATTATAAAGTATCATTGTATATGGTATGATTTGAATTTAGTTCGAATGGTTCCACAAAAGATGCAGGTTTGTGTACATGATTGCTTGGGTGATATGCTGTGTGGTAATGGTACTGTGTTTAGTTGGCGGCGAATATACTTCGTCCTAGTATTGAATGGGTGATGGCGTCATGGCGATGTAAGTCGCGCAGTGTTTGAGATACTTGCAGGATACCATGCGCTGAGCTATCTGTAGAGCATATGCCTGAAGGTATTGCTCAAGTCTCTAGTATCATATGGAAAGCTTTGGTTGAATGGATGAATGCTGCGGCTGATATGGGTTTGTTGTGGGGACGGGCGGATAGAATCATCATTTCCCGATTAGGAAACATATCACGAGATTCTTGACACAGTAGTTTCACATGGTGCATTTTGTTGTCACTGAAATCTTGGAGACGTGCTTTGAGAGTTTTGACTCCCGATATTGTACTCGTTTGGTCATACTAATAGACAAATAGTATATGACTAGGCCATTGTATATACAGCATATAGGTCCCCTTTAACCAGTAGACCCAAGGACTCCTCCATAATAAAATAAGCAGTCTTCCATAAAGACACAACGCGAAGATATAAAGTTGTGACGTCCCAGCGACGGACCAGCTCTACCGTCAACAATCGCTTGCATGCCCCGTATATCTCTTGTCTGATAGACTACCAAAGAAATTGTTGTTGAAAGCTCACAGGAGGTGCACCCCTCCACAGACTCGGTTTCTGCAAACTAGGAAATCCATGGACCGCTTCCGCTCGAGCGCGTTGATACTGTATCGCTTCGAAAACAGGATCCATTCGTGGACGATTCTCCCTGGCCTCACCATCTAATGCGCTGCTATATGGAACTTTAGCCGACGATAAACCGACATCGATCGGGCTATTGGGTATATCAATCTGGTGTATCCGTGGTAGCGTAGGCATTTCGCGATGTCCTTGGAACTCGGGCATCTGGTCTTTTGGAGATCCAGTCTCCGGTTGATATTCAGGGTGTGAGACAGAAGGACGCTCAACGGCTTCAGGTCCCGAAGAGTGCCGTGACGAACCATCTCCTTCATTGCTCAAACAGTCATTCTGCCAGTCCCGGATTTCCTGTACTGTGTGTAGAGGAAACTTCTTCCAATAGTCGGTGCCTCGCTTTCCGAGGCGGGAAGATGACGAGTACGTTTGAGGCGGACTGCCGCTGTTCCGATGCCTGCTTGAACGATCTTGGCGTCCTTGGACACTGGCAGAGAGCTGAGAGTCTGGGATCTGGGCGAGAAGATTCAGAAGAAGACTCTCTGTTTCATGAAGACGGTGTTCCAAGGCTTCTATGTAACCTTTTGCCGGCCCACTAAGACGTATAAGCTTGGACACTTCCAAGTCCAGCAGCTAGCGTAGCTTACCGTTTCAACTGTTCGGGCCAGTCGCACGACCGATTGTGCTGGTCGCATTGAGTGCAAATTGGCCTTTCAAATCGGATTGCGTGAGTAAAAGATGGAACTAAAAACGAAGAATTTCCTACTTACTTATTTCCGCTGCACTAGAAACACATGGGCTGTTAGATGCGAAGACACATGAAGAATAGAATAATCTCACCTTCTGTTTCCGGAACCGGCAGGAATTACAAGCCACTGTGATGCGCGACACTTTGTTTGGCTTTGCAGGCGCCATTGTTGACCGGTTAATAGTTTGAACGAAAAGTGACGCAGTAAAGTATGCAGTAGATTGACCGGCTCCGCTCGGGGATCATCGTAGTACAAAGTATCAGCCAGAGGGCAGGATTAAGAGGGCGCTCGAGGAAAAGCGTTATGGAGCAGCGGACTGCCGCCATAGAAAGGCTAAGCAATTCGGGTCGATCGTGATTGCCACTTCGGGAAAAGCGCAGGGTCGGTGGGACTTTCACGGCTGAACGCTTAGCCGACGCGTGGCTCCTTCTCTGTGCAGTGCCTGTGCCTGTTCTTCAGGGATCAACAATCACCCTGCTCTGCACATCTGATCATCTACTCAGCAGCTATACACTATAAACGTTGGTGGTTGTGGCATACTTAGCCAGTCCATCGCAGAACGGCATATGGAGATCAGTAGGAAGCCGACCTGTGCGGTTGCCACTAATTCGGTATAGGCTGGATTAGATAAGCGCAGCAGTATCCATCTTTGCTTCCATACTACACTAGCTCCAAATATTCAAGAGCCAACGAAAATAAACTACTGGTTATAGTAGATACTAGAAGGTGGAATTACAAGACATGAATACAGTTGCACGCGGCGAAATTATGGCGACATGCGCAGGACAAACCTTCAGCCTGAACAATAGCCGGAGCGGGGAAGTATATAGAGCTTCAAGATGCGGGGATCATAGTACTGATATGCAAAGATCCATCGTTCTTCACCTTAATTCTTACTAGTACCGTGTTTCTGTCTTGCGAAAACACAATGGCTACAGAGAAACCTACTTATCGCATCGCATCCATTCCCGGTGACGGCATTGGCGAGGAAGTGGTGCGAGCAACCATTGAAGTGGTCAACAAGCTCGCTCAGACGTTGAAAACATTCAACATTGAATTCACGCATCTCCCATGGGGCACTGAATACTACAAGCAACATGGTCGGTACGTGTCTGAAGGTTACCTGGATACTCTGCGGAAATTCGACGCAGGCTTGTTTGGCTCTGTGGGACATCCAGGTATGAATATCTGATCCTTACAAGACAGACACACGCACTAACTAATCCAGACGTGCCCGACCACGTCTCCTTATGGGGCCTGCTACTAGCGCTCCGCAGTCCATTGCAACTATATGCCAATGTCCGTCCTGTGCGCACCTTTCCCGGAACCAAGTCACCTCTGACCACAGCTGTGAATGGCATCGATTGGGTCCTTGTGCGAGAGAATTCCGAGGGAGAGTATTGTGGTCAAGGTGGACGCAGCCACACTGGTCAGCCATGGGAGGCTGCGACAGAGGTGGCCATCTTCACAAGGGTTGGTGTCGAGAGGATTATGCGCTTTGCCTTCGAAACAGCACGCTCCAGACCACGTCGCCACCTGACCGTCGTCACCAAGAGTAATGCCATGCGCTATGGAATGGTCCTCTGGGATGAGGTCGCTGAGGCGGTCGCGAAAGACTTCCCGGATGTCACCTGGGATAAGATGTTGGTGGACGCCATGACCCTCCGCATGATTTCGAAGCCGGATTCGCTGGATACTATCGTGGGAACCAATTTGCATATGGACATTCTATCTGACCTTGCAGCTGGTTTGGCAGGTTCCATTGGTGTGGCACCATCCAGCAACCTAGACCCTACCCGCAAGAACCCCTCGCTGTTCGAGCCGGTTCATGGAAGTGCTTTCGATATCATGGGTAAGGGCGTCGCCAATCCGGTGGCTACCTTCTGGTCCGCTGCGGAGATGCTCGCATGGCTGGGTGAAAAAGATGCTTCCAAAAAGTTGATGGACTGTGTCGAAAAGGTGTGCGCTGCTGGGGTTTTGACACCGGATCTCGGGGGTTCGGCGAATACGCAGGGAGTTGTGGATGCGGTTTGCAAAGAAATCGAGCAGCAGTTGGCTTCGTCTTAAGAAAAGATGCGGCAAGGTCCCCTTGCATCGTGTGTTGGTTTTGGGAAAGACGAGAAATAGAGATACTTCCTCTCCTGTCAAGCATAGCATCGAGTGAACGGTTCCACATCCAATTGCAATAGCATTAATTCTAGTTCCCATCCGTTGAGTAGGCAATATATTCTTGATAAACAGTGTTATTTCGATTGATTACCTGGAGCTAACTAAACTCCTGGCTTGCCCTTCTCTATTCCCTACTTCTTTTGGCCGATTTCGCAAGGAGTATAGACTGGCTAGCAATAGGCGTCAACATCTTTGAAGTCAATGCACCCTCTGACGATTAGAAATTGCATGTGAGTAATAAGTCTTGAAGAATTACCAATTGCTCTAGGAATAATTATTATATATGCAAAACTTGACGCTCAGTAGTAATTAGAAATGGAAATGGTGGAAGTGTCGTCCATGACTAAGCAGGCACCCCGATTTGTGACTCGCAGTTCAGTCCGAGATTCTTGACTTCAACGCCATCTTTTCTTCCATGCTCTCTCCTTATCCTCGACGGCAGCATCATGATCCCACCAGAATGGAGCCTCCGGACCTTACCAATGGCCCATCCGAGATTGGTTCCCTGACCGCGCATTCCAAGGATGAGAGTCAGTTTGTCGGTAGCTCCAGTGGCGTCTACTTCATCAATACCGTCCGACGGGCTTTCTCCGAAAGTTTAGATCCGAGTGGTTCATCGCCTGCACAAGACTTCCCCCAGCCGGAGGATACCCTGGTAGGCAGTGATGCCTCGCAGAAAACGACCCCGGCTGCGCTGCAGGATGATCAGTTTCCGAGCCAATGGGCATATGATCCCGCAGTGGCAGCAGTCTTGGGGAATGCTCCCCCGCTTGATACAGCTCGGGAACTCATGATGATGTACTTTAAAGTTTGGCATCCTCTGTTCCCATTTCTTCATGGCCCTACTTTCTTGCAGGCCATGGAGGGCCTCTATTCAGAAGACCGCCAGGAGCCAACTGGTAATGCTCCAATGGCGGATCACCGGCATGTATGCTGGACAACAATCTTTCAGTGTATTTTCAATCTAGCCAATGCTGTTCATCCGGATATCCAGCTTCCACTGGGGTCTCGAATTGAATCGCCCAGTAACATGCATTCTCTCCTCGGCACGCTAACTAGTAAGCACGATATGTTGTCCTTGCAGGCACTTCTTGCTTGCCAACTATATCTGCTTGCAAAAATGTCCCTCCGGACAGCCTCCACCGTAGGTGGCTGCATGCTCCGTTCCATGCTGCACGCAGGTCTCCATCGCTGTCCATACCGATACAAGGAGCTCACAACCCACGACAGACAGCTGCGCAAGAGGATCTTCTGGTGTGCATACGCCATTGACCGATACCTAAGCCAGGCACTTGGACTGCCTCTAGGCGTACAAGACTCGGATATCGATGTCTGTTCGCCCAATGCTCCTGAAATCCATATACCAGGAATGTACAATAGATCGCATTTCGCGCGATCTGCTTCGTATCCTGAGCAAAGGGGACACCGCCCCCAGCTCACAAGCAACCAACACCACGCAAACACTTCACCACGTACCTTCTCAGCCCACAGCAGCTCCTCAGCCGAAGAAGCTCAGCAAAACCGCCGCGAACTCGCCTTTGCAAGCTACGTCGAGTCCGGTACCTTAACAGGACGAGCCCTCGAGCTCTTCCACAAATCCATTACAGTGCGCTCTGTCCCACGCAGCTCCGTACTATTCCTTATCACAGACGTACACAAATGGTGGAACAATCTCTCCATCGAAACACTCCAAGGCCAACACCAACAATCAACCACCGATCAACCCTCATCATCATCCCCCACAGCAACAACGACAACCGCATTCAACTTCGCCCCCTTCTTCACCGTCCTCTACCAACACCTCATCCTTCTCATCAACCGTCCCTCCCTCTCCCTCAGCCCAACAACCCCCGAATTCTGCTCCGGGCTCCAAACCTGCATCAACGCCGCAAGGGAGATCATCTCCGCTCTAACGACGCAGCAAGAAAGCGGCCAATCATTCTTCTGGCCCGGTTTCCTCTCTGCTGCCTGGATGTCAGGTCTCGTCCTTGCATTTGCATGCCAACTCCGCCAATACGTTTTGTCCAAAGGAGCTCAGTACGTTGCATATCCCCCGCTCTTCTTGTCTCACAGAAAAACCCCTGACCTGCATGCACCCCACACCCGCCCAACCTACCTACCTTACTAACATCACCCAAACCAGAGAAATCGCCAAATGTCTCACAATCCTGCACACCATGTCCACGCAATGGGAAGCAGCCAAACACTGCCACAGGGCACTTTCCCTCCTATCTCGGACTATCCAGGAATCAGGCACCAACACCACCGCAGGTGAAGGATCACCCAATAAACGACGGAAAGTAGCAGTAGATCCTCACCACACCGCCTTCTTCACTCCCATTAATTCGCTATCATCGACGAATATGGATGATGAATATGCACGAGGACGAGCAGGAAGGAGGACTCCTGCTGCTGCTGCTGCTGCGACAACATCTGGTCTGCATGAAACTGCTAATACTAGTGGCGGCCATGTACACCTGTCTCATGAGGATAGATTATTCGCTGCGGAGGGAGTGAGTACTAATACTAATGATAATAATAATGGAGATGCGGTGGGAGAGTTTGATTTTGGGATCGTGGATCTGCTCGAGGGGAGTAATTTTGATGATTTGGCGGATATGTTTGGGCAGCAGTATCCTTCTTTTTGAGTTAGTACTTATTCCATCATGGGTTGGTATATATGGGAAGGGGAGGGTGTATGATAGTGCATATAACGAAATACAGAGACCGTGTAAATACAACAGGTTACGTCTACGAATGAAAATAATATCTACATATACGTATAATACGTGAGAAAGATCCCGTGAGGAAGTCATAAGTCTATATTACACTCGTGTCATATCGTAGGATACGAGGTAGGTAGTATGGCGGGGATAGGAAGAGAAGACGTCACAACTTCCTCCCTCTCGTGACATGAAATAAGAGAACCATGGCATCCGAACAACTTTTCATCTCCGTTCCCAGAATTGGCCCGCCTTCCTTTGCCCATCGCCCTCTTGCATCACGTGCTAACATTGCCAGGGAACAAACCCCAAAGCGCTATTCAAGAGGATGGAGAAAGAAAAAGAGACGGGATATCCGGTAAAGGTGATGTCGCTCGCTAATCATGGACCGATGACACCACTAACAAAGAACTTTTGGGAACCGAGGGATATCAGGACCAGGAGGGAAGGAGAAGAGAGGGATAAAAAAAAAAAAAAAAAAAAAGTGGAAAGGTTGAGGGGGGTTAAAATGGAAAGGAGGTGTCGGATAGGAGGAAAATAAGAGGTGAAATCGTTAATTCGAGTAGAAGAGGTAGAAGAGGTCATCAAAAATAGGTGGGAGTCAAAAAAAAAAAATTCGACATGGCAGACTGCTGAAATCAAACCACCGGTGCAGGAGATGAGACGCGAATTTACGCCTTGTTCTCCTCAGTCGAGGCCTCCTTCTCCGCCTCGGGCTTGGCAGCCTCAGCGGCAGGAGCCTCGGACTCGGTGCCCTTGTTCTTCATGTACTCATCGTAAACGCTAAGGGCCTCGTCGACCTTGGCGCGAAGGGCTTCCTCGTCCTCAAGCCTACAATAATGTATTAGCAACTAGGAGTAACAGTGTAAAGAGTAGAAGGGAAATACTCACAGGCTGAGCAACTCGGTGTTGTCCATCTCCAGAAGCATACCAGTGATCTTACCAGCCAGCTCAGGCTGCTGGGCCTGGATCTTAGGGTAGAGAGCCTCACCGAGCATCTGCTTCTGCTGGGCCGGGGGAGCGGCACCGAGAGTCTGAGCGTTAACACCACCAGCGGCACCTTCCTGAGGACCGGCGGGAGCAGCAGCATTCTGTCCGCGACCACCCTGGCCAGGGCGGATCTGACCCTGCTGAACAGGAACACCACCACGGCCCTGGCCGTAACCGGGACCGCCACGCATACCCTGACCCATGGGCATTCCGGGGACCTGACCACGGCCACCAGCGCCGCGTCCAAACTGCACCTGAGCCATCTGGGGGTAACCCATGCCGTTAGGGATGGCACCAGGGCCCTGCATGCCCATGGGGATACCCTGAGCAAAGTTGGGGGGGATCTGCTGGTTGGGGCCCATGCCGCGACCACCCTGCTGGCCAGGGAAGGGACCGGGGTACTGGCCGGGGCGTCCACCGGGGATACCCATCACCATACCGGGCTGAGGGGGGAAGGCCATGCCGCGCTGACCACCAGGGATGAAACCCTGCTGGCCGGGGCCGTAGAAGACAGCGGGCTGCATGTAAGGCTGGGGCATACCAGCGGCAGCGGCGGCCTGCTGCTGTCTGATGGTGTTGCGAGCCTGGATGCTGGCCTCAAGCTGGCTGCGGCGGACATCCTTGCGCTGGGCAAGGGCAACGTAGAGGGGCTTGCCGTTGACCATTCTCTGGTTCATCTCGGTGACAGCCTTGGAAGCCTCATCGGGGCTGCTGAAGCAGACGAAACCGAAACCCTTGCTCTTACCGAAGGGCTTCTTGTCAGACTTCTTGGCCTCCTTGTCCTTCTCCTCGGAGGACTCAGCGGGCTTCTCCTCGGCCTTCTCCTCGGCCTTCTCCTCGGCCTTCTCAGCCTCGGGGGTGGCCTCCTTGTCGTTCTCCTTGTTAGCCTCCTTCTCCTTACCAGCAGATTCGGGAGACGATTCGCGCTCGACGTTGGTGTCACGCATAACCTTGGCAGAGGTGATGGTGCCGTAAGGTCCGAAGAGCTCACGGAGCTTCTCATCATCAATGTCGTCGGTCAGGTTCTTCACGTAGAGGTTGACACCCTGGTACTTGGAGGCCTTCTCCAGGCGGGCGGCCTCGTACTGCTTGCGCAGCTCCTCCTCACGCTCGTGCTTCTTCTGGGCACGACCGACGTAGAGCTTCTGGCTGCGGATCTCCTTGTCGTTCATCTCCTCGACGGCGGCCTGCGCGCTCTCGTGGGTAGAGAAGTTGACAAAACCGAAGCCACGGCTCTTGCCCTCCTGGTCACGGCTGAGGGTGGCGGAGGTGATCTCACCGAACTTCTCGAACATCTTGCGGAACTCATCGTCATCAATCTCAGAGTCGAGGTTCTTGATGTAGACGTTGGTGAAGTTGGCCTTCATCTCCTCGAACTTGCTCTGGCGGTCCTTCTTGGAGATGTGGTGACCGACGAAGACCTTCTTGTCGTTCAGCAGCATGCCGTTGACGTGCTTGATGGCGTTGTTGGCAGCCTCAGCAGTCTCGTAGTGGACGAAACCGTATCCCTTAGAGTTGCCGAACTCATCCTGAGCGACCTTGCAGCTGAGAATGTTGCCGAAGGCGGCGAAGGTGTCGTGGAGAGCCTTGTTGTCAATGGCGCTGTCCAGGTTCTTGATGAAGACGTTGCCCTGGCCAGTCTTGCGGAGAGCGGGGTCACGCTGGGACCACATGATACGGCAGGGCTTGCCCTTGATCAGAGTGTAGTTGAGGTCTTCCAGAGCACGCTCACCATCGGCGGTGTTGTTGTAGTTAACGTAGGCGTATCCCAGAGAGCGTCTGGTGACGGCATCACGGCAGACACGGATGGAAGCAACCTGGCCGATGGAAGAGAACAGCTCGTAGAGCATGGCCTCGGTCACGGAGGGGTCGAGTTCACCGACATAGAGGGAAGCCGAGTGAGGCTGGTTGGCAGCGGGAGCCGGAGTAGAGTTCTCAACGGCAGTGACCTCGGGGGTGGTGGCACTGGGGGCAGCAGCAGCAGGGCTGGCCTCAGCGGCGCCGTTGACGTTCTCGGCAGCGGGGGTGGTAGAGACGTCGGCAGACATTTTTGTGGTGTTACTGTTGGACAAGAGGTAAAGATGTTAGCACAGGTGTCGACGAAGAGGATACGAGAGAGTTAGTGGGAAGAGGGGGAGAGGGACAAGCTGTAACAGGCGATGGAATTGGAAGATTGGAACAAAGCTCTCAAGCAACAATGAACGAGAACAATCGCAAGACAAAGAATAAGAGACGAATGATGACAGCGGGAAGATGAGCAAGGAGATGAGATAAAAACAGAGGCAGTGTGGGCTTGTCTGATGGAGACGGGGATTTCCTTCCCAGGCGGTCACACTATCACCGTGATAGAAGGCAGGCAAGGGAAGGTCGACAAGAGATGGAGGGGGAATGGTGGAGGAATGACGATCCACGCAGCAAAAGTACAACCTCAATTTAGACACCGGGAAACACCGTCAAGACAACGGCTGCTGGTCTGAAAAGAAGGCTGGGGAAGTGAAGCGAAAAAGACGATCACGAGGGATGAAGAATATGCGGTTGAGCGAAAACTTCCAGATGCACGCACAAAACACGCGCGCCCACACACACACACACCGCACAACTTTTCGGAGACAGTGGGAAAAAGTCACAGTAGGGCCCCAACACGAACACGAAATTTTGATGGACGAGAGAGGGGAATAATTACTTTGGTTTTTTTGGTCTTTTTTCCGGGTTTTTTTAGGGGATTTTTTTCGAGGAGTTTTCGAAAAAGGGAGATATGAAAAAGGAGGAAGAAGAGAAAAGGATGCTGGGGATAGACAGCAGAGAAGGGTTTTATGGATTTTTTGGGGAAGGAAGAAAGAAGGAAGAAGAGCGGATGGAGGAGGAAGAGGAAGAGACGGCGAAGAATGAAAATCGCCCCGAGAAAGACCTTTCTGACTGTGACTGACTGAAATGCTGCCTGCCTTTTTTTTTTTTTTTCTTTTTTTTTTTATCTGAAAAAAACTCAAAACGATAAAATTTTCTTTTGCTCTCTTTGGGTCGGCAGGTGGCGCTAAACCTTATTAGGGTATGGTCCTCGCTGCTTGAACGGCGCTTCACGGAATGGTGGATTCCTTTTCGGCCTTTAAACTCGAGCGGCAAAAAAAAAAAGGAAAAAAACCAAATTAACATTTGAAGGATCTTGAGTTACATATGCCTCAGGCATTAAAACGGGGCTAGGCCACCATCAGGCAGTCAATCAAGAATATCACCAGCCATCGATTATCCATCCAACTCTTTCATTCACCATCCATTCATGGTTTTATTGGTACGGGAGCTTGGAACGGCAGCCACAGTGTTCGTGCAGAGGCCGGGCCTTTAATCAACAAAGGATCTCTAACAAAGCGAACCATTCTCAAACAAATATTGATGAAAGCTATCTATCTGATTGGTCGAAGCTACCCCTCGCCATATGAACAAAGCCCCGAGACGAAAGCAAGTGTAGTAGTTACTAGGACTCGAGCTAGAAATAGCACGCATCCCCGGTAAAATAGACACACAATGAAACGCGTTATCAACAACCACAATAACAACAAGAAAAGGAACACATGGATCACCAGGACGCCTAGCTATGCTACTCATAATTATTCACTAAATGCGCTGCAGGTATAATTGCATTGACCGATCCGTGTCATGCAAACTCTCCATTCCCCTCAGCTCAGATCGAATCCAGCTCCGGAATTGACCGCATACAAAAGCTTCTCCCGGAGGATATTGGCGTTGGTATACCGGGGCAGCTTGAGAAGATTCACGCAGGTGCTCGTACTGGGGAGTCGTTCTTGATCCTCGCTCGAGTCTCGAATGCTGAAACGAGGATTGAGATGGCTGAAACCTAATAAAGGAGCCCGGGGGGTTGACGTCACAAATCGAAGCACTTTCTGTCTTTCTTCGTTGGACATCTTCTCCATCACATCCCA